ATTTACCATAACAAAATTGATGATCCAAAAGCATCGATCACTAGGTGATCGATTTCAATAGGCGTGGTAACGAAAGAGATAAACAGTAAACTATAGCAGAATCATGTTGTAAGGGCGACCAAGGCTCCCCCCCCCCTTCAATTGTGCAATGAACATTTAATCGCTATGAAAACTATCATGAGGCTACGGCAAGCTCTGGACTGTGTCATGCTATGTCTTTCAGTCCCTGTCTTTCGATATAACATGACTTCTGAATATCTGTGGATAGTGGCCACATGACAGAAGTTACAAAAATAGCTTTGAATAAGTAAAGATATGCTAACCAAAAACAACAAATACACTTGGAAAATGTAGTACAAAATTGTTGCAAATAAAGGAGTGCATCATCAGGTTTAATGAGCAGGTCATTTTATGATGTAATGAATTATCTATAATCAACCAATATCATCATAGTATGCCAGGTGTTGTTTCAATGTCGTTGCTATAAGTGTGAAACTTTTCAACATTTTCTTCTCGCTTGCATCAGTGTAACGAATATTTCAGAATAACAAACTTCCATAATATGTCCAGCAGTTTTCAAACGCATTCAATGCAAAAACGTTTTCATTTAGGCGAATTTATGAACAGTGAATATTCCAGTCAAACAAACTTCATCCGCGAACCCGGGCTCATTTTTGAAACCAATTCAGTAAAGTTTTGCGCTCTCAGCACTGGCATTGCCGCAGCCTGCTGCCTTCGAATTGCCCATCCATCAGTGGCAGTTCGTAATCACTTGTGCATGCAAAGCCACCCAGACAAAGCTACCGTGCGGGAGACAAAAACAAGACATGCCCACTTCAGTACCTGTGCAGAACAATCAAATTTGGAAGTTTTTCCAATGCTTGCCCGGAACCAAAAGAAAGTGCATCGAAGGAGTTGTAATGGCTAAGGCAGGTAAAAATTCCTGAATCTCCAGACAAGCTGCAGGATATATTAGAAAATGGTGAGACTTCGTGCCACAGCAGCAACTTGTGCTAAAGGCAGCGCATAGAAATGTGAACTCTCTGAGCAGTTTTGTCTGTTCTTGTGCTTTGAGGGCGCCAGTCCAAATGAAAGTTACAGAATTCGTTTCAAAGTAAATCGCATTTCACATGCTTCACTTGACGTCTTCTGATCCCATTGCTGTTCCAAAGTGTAGTGAATATTCAGTTAAGTAAACGATATTATTGGGTCTCTTGAAGTTCACTCAACAAAGAGTTCACCGTATTCCTATAGATGGCTTGCACGAGACATCATGGACACAGCTTCGGAAAGGAACTGGTACTCCACAATGGTGGCTTTGATGCCAAGCAAGTTGCGTTTAAGTGAAAACGGCGCGGTAAGAACGTCCCTGTGCGTGAATAATGAAATAACCTGCAAATACTGTTTTGATAACATTAATGTGACATTGGAAATGTCGTGTCTCCGCATGCTGGTGCTCCAACACAGTTCTCTCAGTGAAGTCAATGTGGGCCATCTATTCAAATATATGTTGGGGGCTGTAAGGACACTCTTTAAAACTGATCAAGAAAGAACATCTTCAACAAGATAAAAGCCATGAACTGCAGCGCCACGCACATGACACTATCAAAAGAACTCACCGTATCAAAAGTACAGACTAGCTTGAGGTTCTGGTCATAACGCTGGTTGTTGGGTTTGTTCCCAGGAGCTCGCCTTGAAAACCAAAGCGAGTACGCAAACTGCAGCCTGTGTTCACCACGCTCTTCAGGGGTTGTCACCTGTGAAAGCAGCACTGGGTATAATCGCATGTCATGCCATCATAAGTATATAGTAGCGTTGTTACTTTTCCAAACATCATTTAGACAACTTGGCTGGGAGTAATGGAAACAATAATATTAGCCTCTGCCTGGCTGAGCAACTAAGAAGAGCCGCCATACGAGAGCTAATATCAATTCATATTGTTGCGGTGTTGCCAATACCACTATGCTGTAGTGAGAGAAGAGGAGCATGACATGTTCTGGTGAAACACAGCCATCAATAATATTGACTGTGGGGCTGTTTCCCTCTGTAAATATCTCATAAATACAATCGCAACATTTTCGTGGAGGTGTGGGATATTATCGAACCTGCAGTGTCGTGGCGCGAGGTGTTGTACGAAAAAGTGACGAAAGGTAGCGCGATGTTCCAGTCGCTATGATCAGCAAAAAACATACATGGAGAGCATATCAGTGATCGTGCGATTCAAACGCTCCGTGAAACCGTTTGTCTGGGGATGATAAGCCATTGTAAGCTTGTGCTTTGTTGCAGAAGAACGAAGTAGGTGAACAAGGCTTCCGTGTGGGAGCCGAAACATCCTTTTTCTGTGTTTTTTTTTTCTTTTTAAACTTTTACTTTGGTCGGCGCAGTGCCTTCAGGTTTTTTACCTTCAACCACCGTAGATAAAAAGTTCATAAAAAGTAGCGGCCTCGGTCTGTGCGAAGTTGGTGAGGAGCGTCGTGGTGCAAGAATTTCTTGTATCAAGAAGTCGGCAACGTCTGTAGAGCAACTGCTCAGGAGAGGTCTTATGATGGCAAATCAGGTCGAATAATCAGCTGCGACTGCAATCCACCCGTTTCCTGTATTAGAAAAAGGACCGAGAAGTTCGAGGCCGAAATGAAAAAAAGGCTAGGCAGGTATGTCAATAGGCTGAAGCAGCCCGGCAGGGTGTAGAGCTGGTTTTTTCCGGTGTTAGCACGACTGGAAAGAAGCAACGTAATGATGAACAGAATGATAGAGGCTTGGCCAGAAAAAGTGTCGGCGAACACGGTCATACGTCCTGGCACCACTAAGCTGACCAGCCGTCGGTATGTCATGTAGTTGCTGTAGTACGGTCGACCACGGGTACTATAAGAAGGAACTCCTGTCCCACGGGGTGCATGTTCTAGAGGTATAAGATGCAGTCTAAAAAGACAAGCATGCAAAGCGAATCGTTCCTCGGGTCGTCATTGAGGGGGTTGATTATATTGCGTAGGACGCGTCACACCATTGCTCTTCTACAATATTGCTGAAAGCGGAGAGTGAGGAAACGCACACGGAAGTGTCGTCCGTTGCGAGATCTGGGGTGTCGATGGGTTGCTTAGATAAGCAACCGGCATCTTGGTGTGAACGGCCAGACTTGTAGCCTACAGTGTACGTGAATTCCTGAAGATAGAGAGTGCAGCGAGGCAGGCACCCTGTTGGATCCTTGAGAATCGGAAGCCAGCATAGGGCATGGTGATCTGTAGTCACAGTGAAGTGTTGGCAATGTAAATAAGGGCGAATTACCAACTAACCATACAAGCACCAGACATTCACGCTCAGTAATGGAATAATGGCATTCGGCAGGGGAAAACAGCCGGCTGCCATGTGCAAGGACTTCATCATGACTGGATTGTCGGTGAGCTAACACAGCGCCAATTCCGTAGCCGCTAGCGTGCGTGCGGACCTCGGTTGGCACGGACGCGTCGAAGTGAGCGAGAATCGGCGGTGTGGTGAGCTAGGCAATGAGGTGTGAAAAAGCAGCGGCTTGATCATAACCCCACATAATGGCACATCCTTCTCGAGGAGATCAGTTAAAGGGCGTGCAATGTCCTCGAAGATCTCGACAAATCGTCGGAAATATGAGCACGGGCCCACAATGCAGCGAACGTCCCGATTCTTCGGCTCATTATCTACGTTGGTCAACGATCTTTCCAAGTGTACATGTAAAACTGCACAAATAAACACCAAAGGTAACCAAATAGGGCGATCGTTATCACTCACCAAAACGGAACGCGCAGGTAAAATTTCACTGCACGAGCAAAGGCCGTTTTTAGCAAAATTACAATGGAATGAGTTTGTACAGTTTCGTGAAGCCCTGATCAGCACACGTAACGCCGAGGGATCGCATTCTCACGAACACACGCTGTATTACGTATGATCAGTGATCAACTACCAGCGCTTACCGGCGCGGCCATGATCGGTCTTCGCCGACTCGCCTCGTCGTCCCCACCTTGAGAGTCGTCTTGCGCCAGCCTGCGAAAAAACAGCGCCGGTGGTGCCAACTGTACACGGTCGGAAAGTGAAAGACGACGCCGCACCAGCTACACAATTCTGTTTAGAGTGGCATTTGTACGAATCAGTTTTACAAATCGTGGGACCTTGGAGCGACCCGTGTACGAGATTTACAGAAGAACAAATGCTCTGCTCTTGCGCTCTTTGACAAAGAAGAGATTCGAGGTAAAATGTGTCTTAAACACAACAATCAAGCTGCAGTGCCGACAAATGTGTTAATCGAAACCCTACAAATATTAGCATATGTCGACCACAGTGCACAAGAGACATTTACGCTGACTTACTTTGCGTGTTGGTGTTAACAGATCTCAAATCAAGGAAACGTTACAAACAATAACAATCAAGAACATCTGGTGCAACTTTACATGCTGCCGCAACTGCACAGCCATCGATCCAAGAGGGAATTATTAGACTTGTCTTGGATTGGCATGTTATCCTCGCCAAGTGCAATAAAGGGAGGGCTACTTATGGCTTCATATGTGGCTTGGCGGAAGCCCGGTTTTGTTTCGTTTTATATTATGCATGGCGGCATCGCTGCATGGAGATGTCAAGCCGGATGCAGCGTGATCGCATTTTTAAGGCTTATTTAGCGCGTTGGGCGTTGCGTATGAGCCGGGCACATTTCACCATGGACCTTAATTATGATGGTATACTTTTTGGTCGCCAGTGCGCAAACTCAGACCCACGAATGGCACGACGTTGCGATCGAAGGTGTGAAATATAAAGCGAAAACTTTCATTTGAGGTATGATGTCGGGTGGCGAAGCAGTAGTTGAGCGATGATACAGCAGAACGCTCTCATCACCTGGTGCACAAAGAAGTCGCCTTGGTTGCTATCAAGGTTTAGTAGAAGCGGAAATCGGGAAAATGTCGTGAAGAAAGCCCGTCGGACGGCGGAGTGTTATATCGTTATCTTGATTCTTTATCTGTTTAGAAATATGTTTCATGCAGAAACTGTGATATGAGGTTGCTGGCTTTGACTGTGTGGGCATTCGTGTGCGTGACACTACTGGGGGTGTTAGCGTACAGTATGCTGCTGTGGAGCCAGTACTGGAGGTGGGCTACTCCGCGCAACACCGGAGTGCAAGCGGCGGTACCCCGGCGGTGGTCGCACTTCTCCCGAGGATACAGCAACGCTTCATTGACTGGTGGTGTGCTACATCCTCACAGAATGGCACCCTTGCCAAAAGACAAACTGTTCGCGAAGGTTCGACCTGTTCTTATTATTAATAATAGAATACCAACAAGTCCAAACCCACATTTTATTTCTGTTCTTATTACCTCTTATTACCACAGCTTTCTTTCTTTTTTTGTTTCTTTCTCTTAGAGCTCATGGGTGAGTCAAAATGCTGAGCTCTTTTTTCTTGAGGGTGTTTAGCGGGTTAGGCGAAAAGGAATCACAGAATGAGGGCTATAAGTGCGTAACTTTGTGAGGGTGTTCTTGCAGGCCGATTTAGTCCTTTAAGAAAGTTATGACTCCTGATCACGACTTCGTTGATGATTTTTCACCGCTAGTTCTGTCCGCAACATTGCACGTTTCCTGTATTTCCGCTTTGGTTGCTTTCTTTGATTCATATCCTGACGCATATACATTTTGACGGCAGTGTTTGTGTCTCAATTTTCTGGCATTGACGTCTCCAACTTTCTCAAAACGGAATAAAAAGTGAGGCAAATGCGAGTAAATGACCGCGTTGGCACGTTTCTCTCATCCGTAAGCATAATTACCGATCTACCGCTGGTTTAACGTCACGATCAGGGAAAATAGACAAATACCGTATTTACAGAATTGTAGGTCGACCCAATCTGCCATAATTTGAAATCCGAAGTTGGGAGATTGACCTATAATCGAAAATAAGTTTTGGTTGCAAAGTCTTTCTAAAAATGATACTTCTGTATTCCCGCAAAGCTAACTTTTTTGCACAACTTTCAAGCGTTGCCGTGAAGCCACTTATGCGCAACGGAATTCGGAGACGTAAATATTGTTTTAAAAATGAAATTTGCTCGAGCTTTTCTTTTTTGTGGGATTTTAAAGTATAACCCCCTCCCCCCTTCCATCCGGCGTACAGTGGTGTATATACGTTAGCCTGCATTTACTGCAAGCTATTCACTGGTCTTTATATAGTGGCACGTGCTTTTCGTGAGATGGGCAAGGCGCGCAGTTACACGAGTCAATGTCACTTCGGTCTGCATACGTGGACACAACTTACATAACCAGTATGTTGTAATGCACAGGTGGAGGCGTACCGGGCGCAGTTGGAGCGCCAACTGCGTCGCGCCCAGTGGGACAGTGTGCGGCCCGTGGGCGCCGGCGGCCAGCCGGCGTCGGACCGTTACGGGGTGCGGGCCTGCGGACGCAAGCCGGCCCGCTTCGCGCCGCCCAAGCAGCTGCTGGCCAAAGCCATCGCTCTGCGCATGAGCATGCTGACCAGGTATTTCACCAGTGGCCAGCGCGGCACGCTGAAAGAACGCACTTTCAACGTAAGGCACAAGTAAAGAACACACTTTCAAGCATAAGCGTGTGCAGGGTCCCCCTTAAGGGAAGGAGGGGAAAAGATTCGACGCAGCGCCCCTTTCCCCTATCATTATAATATATGAGGCTAGCTTTGCGCCCCCCTCTCCCCCCCCCTTTTAACACGCCTATGCTTTCAAGAGAGGAGGAGTAGGGTTGCCGAATGCAAGATCGGAAGTTTTTTTTATGCAGTGCATACATATTCCTTCTGAGATGGACGAGATGGCGATGAAGTCTGGCTAGCATCCACGGAAACCTGAAACCGAAGCGTTAAGGAAGAAGCTAATGTTGCGCTGCGACCTTGCCTAACACCTACAGAGTGACGTCACCGTTACTTCACATTGACAGGGAGCGTTGTCGTCACGCGGGCATGCGAATATCATACGCGGCAATCAGAAAGGAGAGATTGCCTCTTTGTGCCTGCACATGGACACCCGGCCGTCTGTCTTTCTCTCATGCAAGGAAAGCAGTGATGTCCTGCTGTGTGTTGCTTGAAGTTCGCAGCAAGCGCTTTTTGAAAATTAGGTTTCCTGCCTGAAATTATACGCAAATAAGCACCGTCTCTCTCATATACACATATCATAAGAGGGCGTTCTTTAGTTGTTTCATCGAGCGGCCGGGAGATTACTATAATAAAGAAGACCAAACAGATGACCAGAATGACGTCACTGTTGATTACAACCACTGTAGAGGTGTGTCTTCCACGTTCGTTAACGTGTGCTCGTCATGCGTGTCTTAATTGCAAGTGCAGCTCACAGGTTCATACAACGAAGTCGGTTGATGGTTGATCTAACGACGTTCACTCATTTTAGATGTCTCAGAAAAATATGACAGTTGTGCTATTCCGCAGTTCGGTTTCGGTATCGTCGATGAATTTGGGTGATTTTAGTCACTCCGCAATTATTACTAAGCGAGGACGTTTTATGCGAAATCTCAGAGCTGCAATAAACTATTCCTGAGAATGAATTAAAAATTTTTATTAGCCTTGAGCATCTAACTCCTGTAATAAACATCTTTATTCAACTTTCTGTTCCTGAAACAAATATCATGTCTTTAACATGCTAAAGTAACTGTGAAATCGTCTTAAAAATGTTGTATCTCTATGATTTTGGAAAATTTCTGACACATTTATTGAAAAACCTCGGTACAATCTGTGATCAGCCAGTCAAGAGAAACTAAAGGAAGGCTTCGAGACCTGGGCGTTCCACAATATTCGCGACTTTTTTTTTTGTCCTGACAGGGACACGGAGCCGTTCAAGCGGATGGGCTACAGCCAGTACTTCCCGGCGACGGAATTCTACGCGAATCGCTTCAACTCCTGTGCCCTGGTCTCCAGCGCGGGTTCCATGCTGGGTTCGAAACTTGGACCAGAGATCGGTGAGCATGAACTTGCGTGTTCCCCACGGTTTCCTTGTCTGCGATGCCGTATACATTGGTACTGAAATACAGAAGCTCTAGACTTCTGTGTGAGCTGATTCGTGTGGATATGTGTGCCCGGCCATTGCAACCTCTCCAGCACAGCCGCTCGATCTCCCCCAATTGGTGGAGATTCGGTGGAGAGGCAGATCGATTATAGTGACACAGCTGTCCCTTTAGGACCCTGCAAATCGTATGTCGGGACTGTGTGAGTTCTACTCATTGAGTTCATTACCTAATATCTACTAGAGGGAGCTCTGGTGCTACTATCGCGCAGCTACCATGAGTAATGATGGCCTCAAAAGCATTTGAGGTTGTGTTTATTGTTCTGTTTTGGCATTTGTTTCGGATAAAAGAATGGATCGTTGTGAATTTCGTGAAGTAAAAGCGTTAAACTTTTGTTGAAATTTATCTTGAGACAAAGCGGCTCCAGGTCACCTGAATCTGAATGGAGCCGTCTGAACGAAGCTTAGATAGATAGAGAGAGAGAGAGATGGAGAGAGAGAGAGAGAGAACACAAGGAGAAAGGCAGGGAGGTTAACCAGGGCTGAGCCCTGGTAGGCTACCTTGCACTGGGGAAGGGGAGAGGGGAAGGAAAGTTATAGAGGAGATAAAAGGTCACTGACTGGGCCGACGCGTAAGTTTAACTGGACAGAAGTGATTTCACTGTCGAGAAAGTATTGGGACCATGGCACTTAGATAAATCCGTGTACTACCCATCACATGGTGGCTAGATGAGCCACTATACCCATCATTCAAATGCTGGCTGCAGTGCCATGCATTGCGACTCAAATAGACACTAGCGCCAGATTTTCCTCTAGCGTATTATTAGACAGCTCTAGCGGTTCAACCAACGTGTCACTGAGCCTTAAAAAGAAATAAAGGGGGTGGATGAGTTACATTAGATTCAATGCATAGCATTCGTTAGCTGACATGCTTCCCCTTTCCCCCATTTCCCGGTTCAAACTGCTTCACTTTCCCGGCTCTCGTAACTAAATTTTGTGACTGCAGCTCGCTAGATGAGGTGAGAAAGTATTCCGCTGTTCTCCACAGTGGGGTACATTCTAATCCGATAGGTGTGTACGTTTCAGCTGACGAAAGAGAGAGTCAACTATGGTTTCTCCGTCGTGGCGCGCAAAACCCCCGATTCACTGTTACTTACTCTTTTCCTATTTCGGTATATGTTCTTGCTTCTTTTCGTGCAAGAGTCGACATGGCACGCTGGCAACATTCGTAGACCCGTCACTTGCACTGGACTTGTTCCTCGCAGACGGCCACGAAACAGTGGTGCGCTTCAACGACGCCCCCACCTGCGGGTTTCGAAGGCGACGTGGGGGCGCGCACCACGATGCGCCTACTCAACTCGCAAGTGCTGGCGCGGCCCGAGTTCGACTTCTTCAATTCGGCGTTGTACCGCAACGTCACTCCTGGATCGTCTGGGACCCGTCGCGCGACCGCCAGCCTCTCGAAAAGGCGAGTGCACCGAATGCGCTGATCGGCGCATATTTATAACAAAGTGTGACAATAACAAGTTCACCTGTCGAAACGTCGCAGCCGTTTTAGGGCAGCACTTCTTACGACCAGTATATGGGAATATATGCTGGTCGTAGAAAGCACTTTATCTCTCCTTTCGTACCAGTGAGCGGGCTGAAAACTACGTGGCGAGGGTGATGTCAAGGGGGCAAAAAGATGCGCCCGTTCGTCAGCACGTGTTGTGACCTTGAGCAGCTTTCTCATTTTTCTTCTTTGAACGTGTGGCCTTACTTACACTATATGACCGCGAGCGTGCGCGTAGGCACGTAGCGGCATACCGCGGCGGCTGCAGTAACTACGCAGCTCACGATGTTCAAATCAGCCAATTGCCGCGGACTGTGGGTTTATGGCGCGATCACTTGGGCTTATGGCGTCATTCGTAGAGATATGAGGGAACGATTTCTAGCTGACTATAGAATTAATCGTATATTCGAAGCCACGTAATACGCTATAATGTTTGCTGCACATGCTCTCAGGAGTCCTCACAACCGATTTGGAGCGTTTTCTCACCATGTTGAAAAAGCGTTGCAGGACCTCTTAAAGATAAATCGTGGTTCATTTTCGGCCTATATATATCTCGAGTGCCTCGTAAGTATATCGTGTTTTTAGCACTTCCTAGGAAAAGCTATAGTGCTAACCTTCAGTGCCGGATACGTTCGTATTGGTGCACAGAGAAAGAGAGAAATAGAAAGAGGAATAGATCAAACGAAAAGACAGGGAGGTTAACCTGGTAGAAGAACCAGTTTGCTATCCTTTACAGGGGCGAGGAAATATGGATCAAAGAGAGAGAGAGAGATAAAACAAATAAAAAATGCTCAAATATACACATACATGCTGGACGTTCCGATCAGAATCGTTCGGAGAGACTGGTCGTTGAATGCGAAAATTGCCGAAGTTATGCTGCCTGAACGTAGGCTCTTTAAGGTGCTCAGAAGTTCAGAATTCATAAGCTAACTAAGGGAGAGTTAGTTAGTGAATGCCGGCGGTCGATATAACGTGTATACGGCAAAATAGCCGCACGAGATGCTTTTTGTCTTGGACAGAGTCGTCTTAGGCGAATGCATAAGGGAGCCTCGGCGTTTTCTGACAAATACGATCATGTGGCCACTAACGTAAACGTTGATTCCGCTCGCAGTGGGTGGAGCATCCCGAGTTCGACCTGTTTCCAGCGTACTGGCTGCGTCGCGAGGTGCTTCCAGACGAACCCTTCTACCTGATGCACCCGGACTCGGTCTGGGAAGCCTGGCACTTCCTGGACAGCGAGAACCCGGGCCCTGTGCTCAGGAACCCACCATCCAGCGGATTTCTCGGTGCGTGCGTCACGCAGAACACACTTGTTGTCCGTGGAACTGTGCCGGTTGTGCTCACGTATGTGTCACTCATGTTTTCGAGGTTTGCCGAACGCATCAGAGAAAAATAAATGTGCAAATCCAGGCCTGTTTCGTAAGTGTACACTTGTAGGATTTGGTGGTGAGGCTGCAGAAAAGTCAGGGATTGCATTTTGCAAGCTACTTTATAAATGAAAAGCGGGGAAGGGACAATGCTGTGGCCGTTAGAATAGATAAGGTGAAAACATAAAGAAAAAAGTTAATCTGAACTTAGGGACACAGTCTAACAGTTCACATCGCGTTTGTGGCATTGTGCATGTGAGAATGCATTCGCAGTGGGAAGCCCCCGTCCATTCCCGCCTCTACCTAACCCCGAGCAACAGAAACGACACATAACACAAAGTCCTGAAACAATATAGGACTTTACACACCGGCTTAACACAACACTTCTGGCTTGAACAGAAGGATAAAAAGGAACAGAAAACGAGAGATGAAAGGATATATCAGGCCAGACTCTCTACTGTCCTTTCTCTCTCCTCTCTTTTCTTTTTCTGTATGCGCAACTAACTCGCCGCCGTGGTCTATAGTGATCACGGTGCTCAGATGCTGAGCCGAAGGTTGGGGGATTGAATCCCTGCAGCGGTGGCCGCAATTACGATGCAGGCGAAAATGCTTAAGCTCCTTGTACTTAGATTTAAGTACACGTTAAAGATCCCTTAGGTGGTGAAAACTTCCTGAGCTCTCCACCATGAATCTGTCGTAATCATATCGTGATTCTGTTATGTAAAACCCCGACTATTCTAATTTTTACAACCCTCAAACACATAGCTCCAACGGGACGCTCTGCGCATGGGTGACACGAAGGCATTGCGTGGAGCGATCTCCCGCCTACGTTGAATAGCGGTTTTTTCAGTAACTATGGCGGAAAACGCCTCTGAAGACAGTATTGAAAGAACGTCAGGAGACTACCAAGAGGTTGATTTAAAGCTCACAGAGAAGCCTAATGCTGCCCTTGACGTCATGACAGCAATTACGATGGAGTTCTTGGCGTTCATTGGCCGGATTACACCAGTAAAGCTGCTCGGAATGCGTAAGCTAACTAATCTTGAGTGCACATTGCCAAATGCTGCAATGTATACGCGTACCAAATTTCTGATTGGTAACTTCCTTAGTCAAGAGTCCGACGGAATCCCGTCTGGTCGGGGACAAACATAGTGCAAAATAACAAAAACGCCGACCAAAGTGAAATACACAAAAATGAAAAAAAAGACGTTTCGACTCCCCACACGAGAGCCTTGTTCGCAGTCAAACGTCTTTTTAATTTTTCTGTATTTTATTTTGGTCGTCGTTTTTATTATTTTGCACTATGGTAACTTGTTTATTGGTTTAGTCCTGGATAACTTTCGTCGACCAGCCCTAAGGTCTTCTACGAGGGGTGTCGAGGCCTTACCGCCGCCTCGCAGACTTGTTGCTATAGGCGGCTTAATCTTATTCACCGAGTCTGCAGCTGCGCAAGGCAGCGACCCACCGTGAGGAAAGGGTTCCGGAGCTGGTACCTTGCGGGTTTTCGATAGCCCCAGGATATGTAGTTAAAGTGTATACTGAAGCAAGACTGCCCATAAAGTGTATACCTCAGTGTGACAGGCCTTTAATATATTTGTCGGGTGTATTCGGGTAGAGTCTATTATACCGTGCCAGGTTTGGGTGCGTTCACGCCTGCAGTTGTCTGGGAACTGCCGCCTGCGTCCTGTTCAGCTTTTCTCCGAGCGAATGAAAGGTTCGGTGGGCCAGGTAGAGAGCGTTAGTGACGTCTCTGTAGCTCGTCAAGCAGTCTTTGGTGTTGACCCATGAACAACGATCGCCGGCGCAGTTCGCGAGCTCGCGTGCCTTCGGGTGTGTCGTCATCTTTAGGCTCTGATGTGTCTCTGGTACTTCTCTTATGAACCAGGAACCGTGGGATTCTCGCTCAGAACTCTACCGCCCGCTGGACTTCTATTGCGCAGGCAACTTGTCGCACGATCCATCCTTTGACCAATTTTCTGACCGCTTGTTTGGAGTTGCACAGGACCGTCGAGCACATCGGTTCTGTGAGGGCGAGTGCAATGACCTCCACTTCTTCGGCGTGCTCACACACGTATAATGCCGATAATCTCGTTTTGCCTTTTGAATCGACGACCACGAATCTAGCTCCAGCTTGGTGCTCCATCCACTTCTTCTGCCCGAAGTACTAACAGTATAAGTCATCATAGATATTCTAGGCAGAATAGTCGGAGGGAGTCATACTTGTTAAAGCCATGAAGCAATCTCTGTCTGACTTTTATTGCCCGTACCTGTACCCGTATCTTCAGGTGAACGCTCATTCTATGTTTTACGTTGAATTAATAACCTCCGCCGCCGTATGAAAGAGTCACCTTTGCGGGCTTCATGTTCAATGATCGATTGATATGTGGCGTTTAGGTTTAATGTCCCAAAACGATATATGATTATGAGAGACACCGTAGTGTAGTGCTCCGGAAATTTCGACCATGCACGTATAGGATTTTTTAACGTGCACTCGAAAGCTGATCACATGGGCATATATAGCATTTTCGCCTCCACCGAAAATGCAGCCACCGCAGCCGGGATTCGATCCCGCGACCTGCAGGTCAGCAGCCGAGTACCTTAGCCACTAGACCACCGCGGCGGGGCACCTTCATGTTCAAGGGCTGTAGAAGCACCGTCTTTTGTTCACCGTCATGTCCCGAACATAGGGGAGATAGTAAGTGTTATGCATTGCTCGAAAAAAGGGCGTCTTTGAAGCTAGCTTTTCAGCGAAGGGTATTTTATAAAGGTGCATCGTTGTGTGGGGCCTTACGAAGTTCTCGATACGTTGGCTTCGGGGACGCCTCTTGTTCGGTCGCCTAAATCGGAGTCAAGCTTGTCTGAGAGAGCGCTGCTTGCCGTGTTATCGCAGGTCTTCTTCTGCTGCTCAAACAGTGCCGTCACGTGGATGCCTACGAGCTGGTTCCTTCCATGCGGTTGACCAAGCGCTGCCACTACTACGAGGTACACGAGGATCTGGGATGTACTATGGGGGACTGGCACCCGCTGGCTGCAGAGAAGCTGCTGGCGCTTCACCTCGCCTCATCATCGGTACACGCGCTCGAACAAGTGTTCGCCAGAGGAACTCTGCCGCTCAGCATGATCGACAACCAGGCAGACTGAGCAGGCCGAGGACAAGAAATAGCAAGTGCTGTGGTGCTTTTGTTAATAACCACAGGCTCCACGCAATGTACTTCCATCGGTTGTGCGTCAAGTCATTTCGTCTACGTGGAATGGCCATTTCATCATGGCATCTAGCCGCTGCTGAACTTGCACGAAGCCAGCCGTCGCTTGCAGTATGCTCATCGGGGAAGTTCTGCATGCTGGTTCGTTCAGCGGCCAGAGAGCTGGTCGTTGTATCTTGCTATACTGTTTTCCTATGCAAGAACAGCGCTTATTCGACACCCTCTGCTAAAGTGCTATCAGCCGCATCTTTAGGCAGAACTAGCTTTTATATAAAATCAAAACCATTTCAATGTTATATATGGTGCTCTTGTTCAATGCATATATATGTTAGCTGCTTAATTATAGGGGCGGAAAAACAACAATCATGTTAAAACGAACTATTACATCCCTTTGTGGGTAAATACATTGCCGAAACGTTCTCTTCTTCCCCAATGATGTGCCACGACGTTGGCAGTGTCAGTGAGCTCACTGACACCAACGTTATTCATGCACATGTTCATGCACGTTCAGGCTACTGCAGCCGAATGCACCCTTAACGTTCAAATGAAAGTTCACCCAGTATGTGCCAAGCAGCCTACGTGCAGCGCAACCACATTCAAGTAGGTTAATGATTTTCAAGCAGGGAAAACAAATAAAAGGGACGAATATGTACGGCTTCTTCGCATCGTTCTACTTTGACAACACCTTTAGGACTACCTTCCATTTACAATGAAGACAGCACTTCGGGATCGCAAACGAAGTTGGAAGGAAATGCATAGGAGCGACTGAATTAGGATTGGCAATTGATCAAATGCGTGAGAAATATACAGTGCAAGAATCAAACAGAAAGGCGCTATTCAAATTCGCTGTAAGGAACGTTTAGAGCTAGAGAGGAAAGTCGCAATGTATTTAGGCAGAGATGGTTGCTGCACAGCCCGTCAAAGTCCGCATAAAGGTAAGAAGGTTAAACAGGCTTCGATAGTATCGGTACCTCCTCTTAATATCAATGTACTGGCAGACCTTCTGGTTGTGATCTATGTCATCCTAACCGCAACCCACAGACCCCAAATTATATCAGTTCATGTGAGAAACGAAAGCTATGTCATATGCTACAAATATGTGGCCGTGATTCACAGTATGAGTTTATATCGTCCGCCATCGGTGCTCTAAGCTAAGCTCTAAGCTGAAAATACGTATGCGTATTTTCAACTTCGTAAATCGTAAGCATGCAAATAAAAAATAGGGGGGAGGAAAGGGTCATGTAGTAGAACATCTTTGTGAGGTCGAAAGTCCAAGTTTGGTCAGAAGAACCACAGGGAACATGAGTTTTGGCGAAGGTATGCAGATAGTTTGTGTCGTGATGGGTTTTAATGTGACACATTTAGGAAGTTTGCGGACTGATATGCGATCATTCTCATGCGCACTGACATGATTCCCCTTGTGACTCAATGAACACCTTTCACAACGGCCATACAGTTAACTCCATTCTATTTATAATGCGGCCGTATATAGCTCACGGACTGAGTTTACTTTTCGCTGGCGCCCATTCTGGCACGAAACGTACAACCACCGGTTATCTTGTCGACAAGACCTGGTGACCATATCGAACTACTGCTCGTCAACCAGGGTCACCTTTGTCGATTAGGAAATAACGATAAATTACGAAGGTTAGCAAGATGCGAGCTCAGTTTCTTTAACGTATCGAGGAGGATAACAAGACATTTGATAGATTAATTGATATGTGGGGTTTAACGTCCCAAAATTACCATATAATTATAAGAGACGCCTTAGTGGAGGGCTCCGGAAATATCGACAACCTGGGGTTGTTTAATGTAACGTGCACCCAAATCTGAGCACATGGGCTTACAACATTATCACTTCCATTGAAAATGCAGCCGCCGCAGCGGGGATTCGATTCCGCGACCGGCGGGTCAGCAGCCGAGTACCTTAGCCCTAATGCACCGTGGTGGGGCAAAAAAGAAAAAAAGAGAAACGAAATATATATACATATATAAAGTCCTACATTGATAATTTGAAAAATTATTCAATGGGCAGAGCAAACACACAGGTCGCGGTGCACACTTTCGATAGAGTTCCCCCTAACACTCAACATAAATTTTTATGTCTTCAAAGAAACGTCGGAGCACTTTCATCACTTTGTGGTTTGAATCTGACCGTGCAATGAGTCGCAGCGGTTTTCTCAAGCTGTGCCCCTCGATTATCATGATATCTGGTTTGAGCTAGGGACGAAAATGTCCCATCATGCCGTTGCTATGACGATGATATGCACTCGTTCGGAAGCCTATCAGCGGTGCCTATCAGCCTATCAGCGTGTTATGCTAGCAAAAAGAGCAGATTCAAACTGCCTTCCGCGGTCAGTTGTAACAGTGGACGGTGCGCCGAAGCGAACGACCTATAGTTGCGCAGGGACGCAGGAGCGAATTGTGCTAGCAGTGATGTCTGCGATGGACGAAGCTTTAACCCAGCGTGTAGATCTGTCCACACAAGTGAGCAAATACGATTGGCCACTGCAAGGTGGGCAAGGGCACCACAATGTCGAAGTGCACGTGGTCTATAATCGCTCTGCCGGTGCCGGAAACGCTGTCAATGGCGCCAAGGTTGTGGCGTTGAACTTTGGAACGTCGTCAGGCGATGCACTCTCGTCAAATGCTGGACGTCTCGATTTATACATGACCAGAGGTATCTCACCGTTACCAGTTTTTTGCATGAATCTAATACATGGGTGCGTCAGTCTGTGTAGTGACAGGAAGACGACACGACGGAGGCCCGAGGGAACCCAATGGCGAGGGTTGCTGGTTGATACGTCACAACACAAGCGATCCTTCCGGTAAGTAAAGGCAGTCATTGCACAGTTTTCGTTAAGAACAAGTGGCTCTGCTTACTATCTGCTCGTTGAACTGTCATCAGCCTATATAGCCAAATATGTTCCTTCGAGAATACTAAGGGCATTGACAGGACTGCGTAAGGGAACGTTTGCAACCGCATTGTTGGTTCCGCTCATGGGATTGATTTCTGTTTAAACTCGGATAGTCGAGGAACTCAAGATGCATGTGAGAGTCTTGTGATTTAAATAGGTACCAAAAAATCTACACCTTCAAAGTAGTGATGAAAGTGTTGGATGGCAGCGCAGATGGCCAGTAGTTATCGGCCAAGGTAAAATGGCTGTAGCGCTGTTGTGGAGAAGAAAGATTTCTCGAGAAGAAACATTTGCGCAATATAGCGCAAAAAATTTGACACAGGACAAGAGAAGAAGCGAGAACGAGCGCTAACTTCCAACCATGCTTGTTTAGAGCGTACACATATGCACTCTCGAAATGCGAAACGAAGAAAAGAAAAACGAATTTTTCCAGAAGCCCGAAAACTGCCATGTGCGACAATCTTACGTTCTCTGTAAAGCCGTACTTTTTTTTACTTAGCCCGAGAGAGTTTGTGCTGACGTAGTTCAACTCTATAGTCTACAAATCCGCTTTGTCTAGATAATCGCTCTTGTCGACCTCGTCACAACAGTGTAAAAAAATCTAACTCAGGCCAAGTTAGCCGAGCTCTTCGCTGTTTTTTTTTTCGAAGATAATGGTATGCAAAAGTGGTTGGCAGCCACACGTGCTGCATTGCAAGGCCCAAGAAACCATAGCGACCATTCTTGACTTTATAAGCGTCTGTTGCGTTGCCGAAGCCCGTTTTCCCAGGCCACATCATGGGCCCTTGTTGCCGATCGACATGTCAAAGACTGCCGATGACTAGCGCCAATCAATTCCGCTGCAGTGGTGGCAGCGTCGAGAAATAGAAAAAATGGGCCCCATCGTCAACTTCTCCGCGTTGCATGGCAGCGGTGTTTGGAAGGCGGGCGCGCAGCTCTGATGCATATATATGTACCACTTTCCGCGCGAAAGGTATACCTTGTAGATTAGATTTGCCGTGCACGCGACGAACGGATATTTGTGCCTTTTATGCAAAACCTCGTTTTGCATTTGAAACATTCTTATTGATCAAGTAAGACAACTTTTTTGAGGCAGGGAAAACCACGTTCCCATTGGCTCACTCTCCAGCTTTCTTCAAGTTGTGGGAGACTCGATAAAGATACGGCAGTAACGGAACTACGGCAAGCCTTTGAGGCCTTACCTGCTCGACTTGTGGTGGGAGCTTGCTCCGAGAATTGAAGCTTCTTGACCAAACTTTCCGCTATACTGAAACCTGCATGTGAGAGGGGATGCCGGCCTTCGAAATACCCTCTGCTTTCTCTTTAAAACAAGCAGCCACTGGATGTGAGCGGCGCTTTAGTAAATAATTAATAATAATAATTGCAAAAGCGCAAGTTTATAACACCTATCTTTGCGAGTTTTGTGTGAGCGGAGCGGTACCGAAGTAGTGCTTTGTTGCTCCTGGGCTAGTACGCCCAATTAACAGGTTCTGTATTGATGAAAAGTTAGTACTAATGTGAAAATTCGGCAGATCCCACCTACCTTGGGAATCGATGTTATACGAAGCAGGAAAGAAAGTGACTGTGCTTAAAATTTTTATTGAGCGAGACGTTAAGAATGGCGCTAAAATATGTACAAATGTTTTACGCGCAGACATATATGTTGACCAGTTGCATATGTTTTTTTTATAAATAGTTATTTACCGTTGCGTAACGATGTCATCAGCAACGTGGGTATTAGCAACACGAGAAGCGGTAATCTGATATGGAACGCTTGTGCTCGCGAGAACGGTAGCCCTGGACACTGCTACGTGAATTAAGTGCAGTGAATGGCGCCAAACTACAACTGACGCCAAAGCGACGAGAAGCCTGTATCACTGAAGTACATGTGTAATGTTTATAAAATTAGATGGTCAGCACTGCAACCACAATTGACGTTTGAACAATATTACGCATTCATGCATCAAGGATTTTGCCAAAGCTCTTTCGAGACCTAGTGTGAATCTGTGGCTTGAACACTTGATTGCCACACGGAATTTTCGAGTCCGATTACTGCTGCGACGCTGATTATTCTTCTTCGCATTCGTCGCGTCTACGCTGCTGACGTCAGCTTATTTCCAGTCTGTTCCAATGTCTGTTCTCGCCGTTCCTGGGGAGGTAAGATCTGAATGACCCGCCGATGTTATACGCCACACGTGTCTGTTGGAAAGGGTTTGACGACGTAGGCGACGGGATTGTCAAAGTATTCATGTCATGAGCAGCGAGTCATACTAGTCAAATCATATTACCCTCCCATAATACTTTTGGTTCACCCTAAGTTGAGGGGGTGATCACGAGAGCACGCAGACGTAGGCGGCTAGATATATAGATAGACATAAAGACAGATACGCAGATAGACACACCAAAACTGTCTACAGTAAGCAAGATATGCTTCGCATTTTGTTATATAAGTTAACTTAAAAGCTGAAATGTGTCTGTTGATGTTTAAATATTTCAATAAATTTTACTCGTAGTTATGAATGCATATTTAGCTTTTAAGTTGTTAAGCAGCGGAATGCATAAACAGCGTGAGATAGCACGATGAAAACAAGCACATGGCTCTTGTAGAGTGTATACTTGCAGTTTTTTTTTTTTTTTTGCAGCGGACTCGTTCGCAGTGGACACACTGCGAACGAGTGCGTACGTTGGGGCTGTTTCCGCTTCCATCACTCAATGGCCATCGAAGTTTCAAAGAACGTGTGTTGAATCAATAGACTGTTGACTATAGACGGCCTTCGAAACGTCCCGTGTACCAGCCCGTGCTAATCATTGAGTCAACAGACTATCGGTTGGATGGCGTTCCAAACACCCGTGTGACGCAAGTGTAAGCAAGTTGAACAGACTTAGGACTCGCTCGCTGGATTCCGTGCCGACCGGTTGTGCCCTCGTGATCTCCGACGTCAGCGTAGCTCTGGCCGACTGGGCTGGCCCTACGTCATCTCCTGACGCCGACCTCCGACGACAGTCTAGATCTGACCGACTGGACTTGCTCTACGCGGTCTCCTGACGCCGACAAGAGCTCTCGCAAGTGGTGCCCCGTCCTCGGACTCCTGTCACAATGTTTCCATCTTTCCTATCTCTCCTATCCCCTCGATATGTCGTCGCTCACTTGCTCACCTCATCTCTTTCTCTCTCTCTCTCTCTCTCTCTCTCTCTACACCTTTATTCCTATCCTTTTAATCCCTCCTCACCCCCATCCCTTGTGAGCTACTGCTGAGGTGTCGCACCCTGATGCAGACAGTTGCGGGGCTCGCCTTTCTTTTTCTTTTCATTCTTTAACATAAACACTTCCGAATTTTGAGGAACCTGTAGGTCAACAATATCTGATAGAAAGTGATTGGTATCTTTAATGTAAGAAGAAAAGCTGGACGGAATGGTGTTGATGAGGCTGTCTACATAACGGGAAAGGTTCTCAGTCACTGTTCCAATACCAGAAATTATCGGTCTACCGGGATTATCTCTCTTATGAATTTTGGGAAGAAGGTAAGTTAGCTGGCAGGTTTTACCTTCTTCCCAAAATTCATCTACGTTAGCTACGTTGCTTAAGCTCATTCTTGAACTTAACAATTTCGAATTTGATGGGACACATTATGTTCAAGTTAGCGGTACATCTATGGGCACAAGAATCGGACCAAACTACGCTAACATATTTATGGGACTCCTTGAAAACAAATTTCTTGCAAATTGTGAATATAAGTCATTTTACTATAAGCGGTTCATTGACGACATTTTCCTAATCTGGCACCATAGTGAATCGCAACTTCTTTCTTTCATAGCAGATCTTAACAACGCCCATCCGGCGATTTCTTTTTCGCACTCATATTCACCTGTGAACATAAACTTCCTTGATGTCATGGTCACTCTACGTAACGGGAAGCTGATAACTAATCTTTACAGAAAACCCACGGATAGGCAGCAATATCTTCACTTTAGCAGTAGTCACGTGAAACACAACAAAACTAGTATTCCCTACAGCCAAGCAGTCCGTTTTAAAAGAATATGCTCTGATAGCAGCGAATTTTCCCGTCACTGCGAACAACTTTGGAGCGCGCTCGAAAAACAGAGCTATCCGGCCAGCATAATCACAGACGCCATCAAACGTGCCGAAGAGCTGGACCGTTCAGACCTGCTGAGTGCTAACAAAAGACCCAAAGACTGTTCGCGGACTAATCTAATTTTGACACATGCGGCCTCAGCTCCAAATGTGAACCATATATTTATAAAGAAACATTTCAACATATTAATACAGAGCGAGCGGCTCAAAGGAATCTTTACAGAACAACCACGCGTGGTCTACCGGCGGTCGCGGAACCTTCGTGATTTACTAACCTCATCTAAAACCACGTGTTCACATCATGAAGGCTGTCATCCCTGCAACAAACCACGTTGCAAAGTGTGCGCGCACATGACGACATCTAAAACAGTTTTAAGTACATCGTCCAGTTTTTCTTTAAAGATAAATGGGAACTTCACGTGTGATAGTATAAACGTCATCTATGTTCTCGAGTGTTCAACATGCGGAGCTCAGTACATCGGTCAAACAGAGACAAGTTTCAGAATTCGTTTTAATAATCACCGTGCACATGCCGTAAGCCTCCCTAATCTACCGCTCTCGAAGCACGTCAGTATGCCTGGCCATGGTTTCGACAAAATTAGGGCCACTATTATTCAGTCCGGTTTCAAGACAAATCACGATAGGGAAGTGAGGGAATCCTTCTTGATCCATACATTTAACACCATTCGTGCAGGTATCAATGAAAACGTAGGAAAGCTCACCTGCCTCGCACTATAACAACACGACTTCTTAGATTGGTAAAATATTTTAGTGTATATTAGAATGTATATTAGTCAACCGTGGTTTCATTACTTCAAAGCTCTTTTGCATGTCCTGCCAACCATACTGTGCCCCGCGTGTCGATGCGCAAGGAAATTTGAGACTTGTATATTCATGCACCCGTCACATGTCAGTCATATCAACACAAGGTTCTCACAGATTACCATTTTTTTACTTTGATTGTCCTAGCTGCTATACCGAGAGTTCATCACGTGAGCCTATAAAAGCGGCTGCATTGTATCATACCTACTTACTCTGACGAAGGCCGTGCCACGGCCGAAACGTTAGTAAATACGATCCTTTCTTATGTGCTATCTGCAAGTTAACTCAATATAGAAAATACCCGGACCTGTCGTGCCTTCCCTTCAAGTTCTATATATATATATATATATATATATATATATATATATATATATATATATATATATATATATATATATATATATATATATATATATATATATATATATATCGCACGCGTGTTTTCGAACATCGCAAGCGTTCAAAATATGGGCATCTAGTAGAGCATAACGTTGTTCTAATGGATGCTCCGAGTCCTTTCTGGAGAAAACCAAAGAACATCACTTTTGAAGAGAATATATAGGAGATAATTCGCGCGCCTGGTGATCGACCTTAATGTGGGTGACACATTTACGAAGTTTGCCGCCTGGTTTCTGCAATCGTCATCTTCACATCCACTGGTGAATTCTATCTACAAATCCATCTGCGTCTTAATGACGTGAGATGTAGTTGACTCCACCATGTTATGGTCCAACCTTGCAATATAACCAATCGACTGGGTTTCCTTTTAGATGGCGCTCATTATGTTACACAGCATTTACAATCATCGCCTATATTCTGCACAAGACCTATTGTCCACATCGCTCTATCGTTTTTAACCAGGACCATATGCATCGATTAGGAAAGAATGAAAAAGTACGGAGGCTAGTCGAACGCGAGTCCAGTTTCTTGCAAGTACAGAGAAAAGTAACTTAAGATCAAAAGAAAGTATAGTAAGCAGAAGCATTAACTGTGCAAACAAATAGGTTTAATCATTACGATTATACAATAGGTCACCGGTGCCAGTCGATTTCGGGAACATGGTCATGCCCGAGTTGCTGCATTTTCGTCTTTCGCACTGCTCTCCTACGATAAGTTCACCCTTCCAGTGGTTCAAGTCTGACGTTTTGATAGTAGTGGAAGCGCATGCCTGAAGCGGCCTCCGATTAACTTACGCGTGCCGGAGTGACAGGTGGCGCTGCCACACCAGCGCATGCGCAGATACGTTTCCGCCGCAGGGTGCCCTTATAGTTCACAGCCCGCGTTTGTTTACTGTTCCCTTGAGTTTGTATTTTGCCCACAATTCCTTCTCTTCTGATGAATCCTTACCAACTAGTTTTCAGTTTTTTGTGGTTCTAAATATGGTGCTACCCAGAGATGAGACATATGTGCACGGTAGATTAGAGAGCAGGATGACTGGATGCAAGTCGGCAGAAGTGCAACTTTTATCTGGATGCCCTTTCGTCTCCGCATGTTACCGCAACAGCGACATCGCTGGCGCATGAAAGACCACAAACACAACAAGACACTATGTCAAACGATTTTAATGAATAAACAACCAACTACCGCAGGCATCGTCGACAAGTGAACGCCGCGGTAGAACCAAACGTTTTGGCGGCGAGAAATTGCAACGACACAGCACGCTGCACGCCACGGGTGTTGTCTTCGCGGAGACAAAACGCACAGAGGGGGATGAATGATCAGATGCGGTAGCTAGGGACCGCCCTGGGGTCCGGCCGCCTTCTGGGCAGAGCCCGGGCCAGCCGGACGGATGGGGGGGGGGGGGGGAGGGGTATGTGAGGTGTGGGGTGCCAGGGGGGGCGGCCTGCGCCCCTCTTGGTCAGTCTTTGGTGAATGGCGGCGGCACCAGCACACGTGCTTGTCTGGTGCTCGCTACCTGGCACTATCACGCCACGCGCTCGTCACAATTCACTCCGGCTCACGCGCAGGCCCGCACAGCTCCGATGAAAACACTTCTCCTTCGCGCATCCGTTCCTCGGGCACCCGAAAGTTCCCTCCAAAGATAGAGCTGAAATTCGACGTCGAATGACTTTATGGCTGCTAGACTGACCCTGATGAACAGAAAACGACCGAAAGAATGCGGTATCACATTTCAGTTACGCTAAGGCAGACTGGTCACCGAGCGTTCCTCCGGGCTCTTGTCAGAGCTTCACTTCAAAGGATTAACAGTGAGCAAATTCCGCTGTATAATTCTTCATAGATTTTCGAGCCTGGCTGGAACGAACTCATTAAGGAGAAGTGCATTTTCCCGGAACCGCACACAGCAAGCACAATCACTTCTTTATGTCCTCAACCGACTCGCCACTCACCCGGCAAAAGGAAACAAGTACAATGCTAGCAAAATGGGAGAAGAAAAAAAAAGATAACTTTCGCATGTCCGGTTTCTTCATTGAAGGAGCCGCGAATTCACAACCTCCTCCCAACACGGTCAGGAGGCTTTACCACACACACACACGAGTTCTCACCGGAAAACTGTCCACGAGTGAAAAAGATGAGTGTTTCTGTCATCCACAACAAAGAGTTGGACCACGAAATCTCGATGAGGCACTTGAAGCGGCACGTCCTCTTCAACGAACTAGATGCTTGGTCCAAATTGTCCGCCGCCTTCATCTTTGCAAAACTCTCGAGGCCTTGCAATCTGGTGAAGTCATGTTTAAATAACACCGAACTCCTGTCGAAGCACACCACGAAAATAGGACGACGCTTGAGCATTAGGAAAACCGGGAAGACTGCGAAGCAAAGCTCGTCTTGTTGGCTAGCCGTACCTAACTCCATCGACAACTTGCGCAACACATACTCAGAACCTCTGCTGAGTTCCAAAAGCTATTTCTGCGCAGCTGCTGGGAAGTGCCTTTTCCAAAGTGGTCATCTGAGCACCGTAGTAACTCCCCACGATCTCTCGAGAAGCATCAGCTTTAAGAACTGAGGCGAAAATATGCACAAATTCTTGACACGTCTTCCCAGCAGTCCAGAAAACTTTCGTGTGACTCGCATTGATGCCAAAAAAAATGCCCTCTCAGGAACGCCGCTTCCTCTTCGCCTTGCCGGTGATGTGATCGGCAGACAAGGAGACTATGACGCCAAGCGACTTCCAAAACTTAAGTTATGCGCTGTAGAAGCTTGCACTTCACACGAGCGGCCTGAAAAGGGGAATCGCCAGGAGTACGAGCGCAGCGCTGCTGGAAGCCGCGAAGGACGTGCTGGCGCCGGCAGCGACGGTTGTTGGCGGCGGAGCTTCGGCGTGCCCAACGGGTCCCAGTTCGGGCGCCTCGGGTGCGGCGTCCCTCTGCAGACCCAGCGGACGCACCGGGACCCTGGGAGCCATCGGTGCCTCGGTGCGGTCCAGCACGTGGACTGTGGCACTTTCCGGGTGGCGTCGCGAGGACGCCTGCTGCTGGGCCATGGCGCTGGACATAGCCTTGCAGTCGAACCACCAGACCGAAGTGGCACGCGGGTACGGCGGGTCACCCTTGTCCACCTGTCACAGAAATGAGCATCAGTTATAAGCTAGATTAGTAACACGCGAACTTTTGCACAAACACTGAACAAAGCATCGAATGTTTCCTCTGCCACAAAAGCGACCCTAGTTTTGCGTGGGACTGGATGGTCGTGTGTCCTTGCACGTTCGCACTAGTTAAATGTTAACTTTATGATGTCTCTACTCTCATTTAATTTGTTTCCATTTACTATATTTATATTCGCATATCCGCACTCGGAAATCCTCTTGCAAGTGGAAACCGCCGGCAAGGCTGCAAGGAATCGGTACAGAATGTTTAAAAACGAAAGCTTCCTGGTTGATGAAAATTTCTGTTTGTCCTGTAATCGAAGCCGGGAGTAATACGTGTCATGTACAAGGCACGAAAATACGTCTGATTTGCTTGACGAAATAACAAGGACTTGAAGGGGTGAAGGGGAGTCCCTTATACATAAACATGAACAGACTAGCCCAACTTAGAATATTTCTAGACTATTACCCATGCAGCGTGCTTGTTTAGTTTCATTTCCCCTTTGCTCTTGAAGCTGAGGCTAAAATAAAGTTATATCCGCCCAGACGGGCTGCTTATGTTGCTATTCTGTATCCTCGCGTGACAGGGGCGGTGTTAACATTTCGTTATTGTGGGGTGGGAGGGGAGTTGCTTGCTGGAAACAAGGAGCCGGGGAACTTATACGTGGTGTTGTGTATAAGTTTTTGTGCGGAAGTGTTGTGACCATGTTTGCTTTTGGAGGGGAATGGGGCAAATGGGTGTACGCAAAAATTTTAGAATGGCTGCATCCACCGCTGGCGCCGCCCCTGTAGCACAAAACTCTTTCCTTATTAGATAGAAGATATAAATTGAATTCTCACGAGTCGTAGCCCCGTACGCCAGCTTACCCCAAAGTCCTTGTCGTTGAAACGGTAGTAGTTTGGTCCCTTGAAGAAGTAGGAGTAACCGTTCTGCCATTGGAAAGCTGCGTCCAAGTTACCGGGAACGCCGTTCCAGTTGCTGACTGGTTGAGGGTAGCGGTCGCTTACGGGCACTTCGTTTCGGCTGTCGTACCGCCAGTACTGGTTTCCCTTGAAGAAGTACGTCTTTCCGTTGCCGCTCCACACCAGTGCCGCATCCAGATTGTCCGGGATGCCCTGGAAGCCGACGTTGATTTTCTGCGGGTAGCCCTTGCTCATCTGCTTGTTCCGGAAGCGCCAGTAATTTCCTCCCTGCAAAGGGCGACATGAAAGAGATTGTTTCCCGCGGTAGGCAGTGGCGTAGCGAGGACGTCGAATGCAAGGTTTGTGAAAAGACGTTAGCTAGTTAAATTTCGGTTAATGGTGCAAGGGCAAGTGAGGCGAAGCTGCACCAGACACAAGGTGTTCTGTAATAACCAGTACATTATATGCGATTTTAAAGTTTATATAAAAAGCTGCCATCTTTAAAGAAATACATGATATTTGACAGAGGAACAAGTGCATCGGCTCATGTAATTCGGACGCATTTGATGTATAGTTCTTTTAATTATTTTTGCCTTTCTATCATCCTGTCAATTAGTTGACAGTAACCAACCTACTGGATGACAAATCCTTGCGTTCGGCAACATACTGGCCTACAGCCAAGCTTTCTAACCAGAAACAGGAACGTTGCTGCAGACCTCGCTTCGAAGCAATGGCACACGCTGTAATTGATGCGAAGCTTTCATTCTGTTATATGGCCACCGAATTATCTGAAATAAATTTAGCTAATTGAGTAGAACCGTGAGCCTTTGGATGTAAGCAAACCCAATACGTTCGCTTGGACACTTGTCGCTTCATACTGTGAGGGGTATGGAGCTTCGCGCTTGGTACTCGTTTAGGTCCGTGACGTCATGACTGGATGCGCGGTATTTAAATGAACCCGCACATCAAATCTGGAAACTCGAGATGCTTGTATTGTTTGATAGTCCCGCATGCCTGAGCACTTCTAACCTAATATGACTAACGAACATTGCCTTTAAGATGTTGTAATTCGGTTTTAAAGTAATATCGAGGACTCAGCGCCTCGTGACATCGCCGTTAGTATGACGTAGACAGATGCTTCTTGTGACGTTTCACTCGCAAAAAGGCGAGTATTGTCGACGTCGCAGGACATTCACAGGGCACACACGCACACACACGACTGACGCCCGGCGAGAGCTATTCTTCGTCCACCCTCTCGTTCTGTTGTCGGGCTGCAGCTCTCAGGGTGGTTTTGTCTGCTTATGCCAAGAATGCTTTGCTTTTTTTTCCGAGGGGGACACGCTCAAAGCAGCACCCGCGCATCGTTTATTTGAGGCCAAACCTCATAACCGCGAAAATGCTCGCGACGTAGATTGCCTTCGCGCGAACAGTCGCTAGCACAGGCAAACCTCATTCACGCGACGGCTTCGGCCAGCGAACTCCACCGTTGCTTGCATGAGGCCATCTACTCGTACCAAGAAAACCGCGTAGTGAGCGGTATGCAATTTAGAAATAAAATATATCATTGTGTAATGGAACGGAAAGTGTTTATCATTGCCCTGCAGCACTTTTTTATGTGTACGTGCGTAAACATTACGTTATTTCTTCGTTGTGCACGCGTGACTCGGGCGGAGCGGCGAGTGAGAGGAGGTGGCGATTTCGCGGCACACGAGGAGAACCGGCAGTACGTCATTTATGTACATCCTGTTCCGGTGCTTTGACCACAGCACTTCCGGGCGATGGGCGACGGTTTCCGAATCTGGAGAACCGAGCGATCGCGCGAAAACTACCGCGCGACACGTCGCGCGAACGCCCTGTTTCGTCGCTCATGGCGTCGCTCGTCGCTGTCGCGTGCATTTTCGCGTTTATGAGGTTTGGCTTTTTATTCACCGCGTGCGAATCGCCCCGATTTGAAAGCTGCGTGTTAAGCGTAACTGACGCTTCAGCGCGCGTGGTATCGGGTGATGTCCTGCTGCGAGGGTTCCTTATGATTTTAGAAGGGCATTTTGAAGCCACGCTAAAATTGGTCGCAATTAACGATGCTAACGTTACTTTTACCTTACGTTAACACATTTATGACTCAATATCCACATTACCAGACACAAGGCTAACGATTGCAGTAAAAGAAAATCACAAACAGTAGTTTCGCTGTCCAAGATCCTTTAATTGCAAAAAGAAAGTTAGGCTAGCGTTAGAAACACTAAATGTACGTAAATTTGATGCTAACGTTAAGATTTAAACAACACTTCCAGAAGATTTACGCGTTTAATAACTTCATTTCTGGTTACTAATGAATAAATAGGAACGTAAAGCTTGGTTTATTAGCATACACAACTTTAAAGCACGCGTACTTTTTATTTTTTTAATATCCGAATGATATTCTAGCCGAAGTATCAGAGAAAATTGGTCTTTTTGAGATAGCCGAAAATCTTGAATGACGATGAGTAGCAACATGGATTTGCCGGCCAAATAAGTGTTCCAAATTAAAAAAAAAAGAAACCGAAAAGTCATCATGGGTGTCTTTTCCAAGAGCGCCATGCGTAGGCTTTCACAGTACATTCCCTCTCCCCTGTACCAAATCTCGCCCTCTACATACAATTAAAAAAGTCCATTTAACGTCGCCACGGAGGCAAGGAAAGCCGCTTGCTGACGACCAAGAATAACATTCTAGGGCAATCCGATTTTGTTATATTTTATCAGTAAATGTCGATAAGCATTTAACAGCTCCACTCAAAAACAAAACCGACATTTTTTTTTAGAATAAGAAAATATTTAAAACGAAAACGCCAGGAAGCCTGTGTTTTGTCCGGAGAAAGGAACTTAATGAAAAAACTCCCAAGCATTTCCCCGAGGGTGAACATGGTTAAGTGCGAATACACGGGGTGATGCTATGAGGGGTATTTATTAATTCGTACTATTATATTTAATAATCACACTATGGTGCCTTTATGGTGTAATGGTTCATGGGAATCGCAATTTGATCACACGGGGGAGTTTACGTTAACTCACTGGCGAATGCCAACGGATTTTAACTTTACTCCCCCTCACGACCCGCTCTCGACGGGAGACTGAGAGAGAAGGCGGGCGTGCGAGAGAGAGGGGTGCGCGCGCAGCTGCAGCGAGCGAGGAGAGCGGAGGAGCGAGCGAAGGGGGAGGGGGTATAAGGCGCGTTACTGACACCGATATCAGCGTCGCGTCCGTGGCTTATTCGGTAGAGCGTCGCGCAGCGGCCCGCCAAGTCCTCTTTCTTTTAAAGATAGAGAGAAGACTGCGGACGCCGCCGACGGCGGTGGATGGTTTGGGGTCGCTTATAAAGTGTATTCACACTTAAAAATGTTTAGTTGCGCATTGAAAGCTTCATTTTCTCGCCCGCGTTCGTGAGGGAACAAGGGTATGAGGGGAGGCGTATGCAGCGCGGGTTTTCGTCCAGTCAGCGGGGCACACCTTACCTTGAAGAAAAAGGTCTTTCCGTCGGACCACGTGAGAGCCGCGTCAATGTGACCCGGAAGGCCGCCCCAGTCGTCCGATATCCTCCTCGGGTAACCGTCCGCTATTCCGTCAGTGTCAATCTTCCAGTAGTAGTCGCCTGGTGGACAGCATGCAAAAAAAAAAAGAAAAGTTACACGCTCGATTTCCGTAACTTCAAGTCAGACGATGATACGAGAATTTTAATCACTGACTTCACCGTATTGTATTAGAGCGAGTTTCAGTTCAAATAAACCTGTTGCATCGAGGCCTGCTAACTTTCATTGACCAAACCAATTTGGCCTCGAGTTTAGGCATTTTTTTTCTATATGATATGACTATCCATTTATGACGTCCCAGTCTGTGTAATGTTTTCTTATTTCCCATTTCCTTTCATGCTATTTCGTTATGTTTTCCCACCTCGAAAAGGCAGGCTCTTGTGTCCCTTTAGGTGGCGGTTGTCAGCCTGTTCCCTTACATATTTCGTCTGTACCCGTGTTTTCTTTTTCTTTGCAACCAAACTAATCAATCAACCAACGAAACAAAAGAACCACAAAAAACCGTCATCCAACGGGTGTAAATGCAATGTGGCTATAGGTTGGACGAACGGGAAATGCACACTGGCCACCGTTTCGATGGTCCAGCGGATGTAAATGCAATGTGGCTATAGGTTGGACGAACGGGAAATGCACACTGGCCACCGTTTCGATAGTCCAGACCAGTCCAGACAATGGGTCACAACGTACTTGTGCGAAAAAAAACAACAAAAAAACCAGCAGTAGATAGCATTTTCAGCTTTCTTGCTTGCTGAAGTGGAGTGTACAACACACTATACACCGAGTACACCATATATGTCACGACAGTCTATAGGGCTTGGGAAACACGTTATACCAAAAGAAATGTGCACGAACAAATGCTTGAGCATGCACCTATGCGAAATCACTCAACTAGATATACTTGAAGATAAACTTGGCGCGCTAACTTCGAACTCGCTTAGCCCTGAAACTCCCTAGTGCGCAGTGTGGACACCGAACCGTTCAGTGCTTACCAGCATTTTCTAAAAGCGGGTCTTTACGGGCTCAACGAGGACGACCAGTGTCGTCGTACACAGTCTCCGTCACGATCCGGTCCGCGCTCCTAAGCTGTTTTCCCTTGTCCCGAAATTCATAAAAACCGCCCGCATAATTAGGCTCACGACAACAACGCCTGTGGTCACGATGAAAACGTCTTTGTTGTCGAGCGCGTTTGCGAGGTCGCGCACTTCTTTCCCGCTTACGCAACGCAGCTTGTTGTTGCCCCATTCGGCCACGCGAGCGCGCGCCTGCCTGCAGCAACGAGCGAGGGGCGTCTCTTGCACAGGCGTCGCATTTTCCGCAGGCTATCGCGAAGTTGCGAGACAGCCACCGCATGTCTTCGGCTCCGCTTGCGAAACGGGACATGCATCAAATTCAATAAACGGACTGTGAATAACATCGCGAAATCAGCCTACTGAAGGTTTCATTACTTTGTCACTCCAAGTTTTTAATCCTTCCGCGGTGTGAAGATGAATATGCGCGGTCGAAATGGAGGCCTGTGACGCCGTATCTTCAAGTCCGAGCCCGAACTCCAGTGCGGGTACGTGAGCATGACGCCATAAACTTGAAGTTTCTTACAGAGTGTAGAAGTCTTGGGAGCTTCTCGGAAGCTTCGAGTCGATGTAAATTCAGTTCTTTTGGAGTATTCAGCGATCACTAAACAAGTAAAGTAGTCGCAACGTCTTGGAAAACTATAATACAACAAGGTTTCAAATTGACTATCACTTTGGTAACTTATGGGTATCATATATACTAACGAAGTAATCTTGTCGAAATTGCATGAGTAATAAGTTGATAATTTCCGTATTAGCGTTTTTATTAGCACTTAAACCAGCCGACAGCTACATATGAGTCGTATTTGTTTGTTTGTTTGTAGCCTCTGATGCTGATGACCTTTGATGGATGGCGCTTACCCACAAAGGGGGATGGGCCAAGAACCGGGCGGCAGGATACTTAAATGAAACTAAGTATCTAATCCATGTCATATCAGACAAGCACATCGTCTTCCTCAGTGATCAACCCCGAGAAATTCTAGTAGTAAACCAGAAACGAATATCATACACGTTCCTTATTTTCGAATAACTTTTTATTAACTGTAAGGACAAGCATCTTGACTAAAGGAGTGGCGATTACGACTGAATGATACTTAGCAAAGTTTGTTGTCAAACAATAGTCCGCACGGTTTTCTACAAGATGCTCTTCAGAGATAAACTCACTCGAAGTCTGTAGTTGTGTAATTATCCGTGCACTAACCTTCAGAGTGAAGCCACTCAACTACATTCAATGCCTACAAAGTCATGAATAGCTCAGCTTGCCACGAAAAAAAAAAAAAGAAGTGGCCATCAAAAGTTCGCTAAGGCCACGATTAGGAAGCATCACTTCACACAGAACAGTGTTCATTTCAACACCCGCGATTAGTTCTGAATTTCGAGCACGTAATTGCATACTCATACGAGCACAAGGTTGCATGACAATCCCCCCCCCCCTTCTTTTATTTCCATGCGCTACGTTGTATCTAGTGTGAACGCATCTAGGTAAAAGAAAACAAAATAGGTAAAAAAAGGCCCGAAAATATACAGTAAACCCCACGTATTTTGCCCGCGTATTTCTCGAGTTGGTTGAATGACTTCGTAGCTGGGTTAGCTAATATTAACGTAACCGCGCGTTTCGGTCGGGCTGCCTGTACAACTTGGGATGCGCGGCGGCACACACTATATTCGCCGCCATTATTGACGGTCCCCGAGCCGTGAAGGCTCGCTGCGCCGTCCGCGAATAAGTCGTCCCTCCCTTTAGTTCGCGTTTTTATATCTTCGTTTCTCTCCTTTCGTTTCCTCCACCGGTCTCGGCAGCTTCTTTCTCTTTCGTGGCTCGCTTAGCAGCAGCAGCTAAGGTATGAAGGAGAGAAGAAGAATATGACGAAGAAAGGCACGAGGAAAACTCGAGACGCCTCCGACGTTCCAGGTGGGGAGACGCCAAGGTCGATCGGCTGGTTAATCGATGCCGAGAGCGCACGGGGGCACAGCGAACACAGTTGCCGAGCGCAGAGAAAAAAAAAAAAAAACAGCGCGACCTTTGTTCTTTAGCTCCCATTTTTCGCTACTTCGTTTTATTTCCTACTTAAAGCCGCACGCGACCGCAACGTTTCGCATCTCCGAGTCAACCGGCGACCTCAGCCATTCGCGGCTGGCAGCCGAACGGTGCATCCGCTGTCTCCTTCGGAGACGACGTTGGACGACGTTTTTTTTTTTTTTTCTGTTTGTCTCCATCGCGGGAATTTTCCACGTGCGTGACGATTGAAAACCCGCTGTGATGTTATCGCATTTCATCCGAACTCAAACTCGTACGTGGCAGCCAACGACGAGAAATTTTCACAGAAACCGCTGCCAACGTCCTTTCGGCTGTGTTTTCTTTTCTAAAGTGCACTTTTTGAAAATGTTATTGCACGAAGCAAGCGCGTAAACGAGCATTGAGTGGGTGAAAATGGCACTCAGGCGACGATGGTGAGAGTCATCTTCCTCTAGTTCGAGACGCCTTGGTCCTTCTTTTCGTCACAACCACACTTCATATGCGTGTACGTGCGCGCATGGGTCTATGAGGAGCTTCTGTATCCATGACTTCTTACGCAATTGATTTAAAGTAAAAAAACCAGAGATTAATCTTTCCCGCAACATGGCAACGTTTACATTAGCTATTGCCTCCCATTTTCCCCTGTCATCTGCTGACTAATTATTCAGTAAAAATATCTCTACAGGAGCCGCTAACCCCTCTAATTTCCCCCGTCATCGCTTCTTCGTTCCCAACACTAGTTTTCAACTGACGACGATTAGCCAACAACTTCACAAAAATGTGAGTCTACTGCGACTCCTACATAGATGGCCATGGTGGAGGTCACCCGAGTCCAGGTTGTTAGATCCACTTGAATATCAACTCTGTCTTTATGAAGTCCTTACAGGAACCAACTTAGGGAAGTTCTGGTAAAATCTAGTTAAGTTGGAATTTTCTCAAACTTCAGGAACTCTCTCTGCCGATACTGCGGGTGAAGTGTTCTACTCCTGCAGATGTGGTTAATCCGCTGCGAACAAACCGAGTTTGAAAACAAGCAACAACAACAACAAAAAACTAAACTAACCATCATAATGTACTCGGGGCCGTTCGATGGTACAAACTGAGCCGGAAAATGGCTAGAGAACGGCGATGCATTTCATAAGTCACTCTTGCAGTACCCGCACGAAATGCTTGGTGTGAAGTGTGGCAACCCAAGTAAAGCACTAACATACAAAAAATATGAGGAAACTCACCCTTGAACACGTACGAGCTGCCATCCTCCGTCCTTGTGGCAGCGTCGATGGCGGCGTCCTGGCACAGGTCAGGACCAGGCTGCGCCGGTTTGCGGCTTCCCTTGCTCGGTGTCTTGGTCGTCCTGTGCACAGCCCCTGGACGAAAAGAAATGCCGGATCTTTTAGAGGGACAGCTGCGTACGGAAGAAAGACGTTAGGTGTGTGTGTGAGCTGGTGCCACGACATTCGCCGCATACGCAATCGACAACTCAGCCGCTCGCTTGCCGAATCATGTTAAGAGTCCAGTGCAGTTGGTATATTGTTCGTGTCTTTCATGCACAGTGACGCAAGTCAATGGTCTCAGCCCTCTGTTCAAATACGTTGCTGTTTAAAAAAGAAACCCGAGCGATTGAGGCTCGAGTTCTGTCTGTCTCCTATGTGTGGGATAAGATATGCCGAAACATCTACCCCCCACTTTTTTTTTCTGTCCATGCGGATAAATTACACTGTGTACACACTGTAAACTTTGTTCGACTTAAACTCGGTGACCCATACTTCTCTTCTACGGAGCACCGGGTCCCATCAAGGCGCGTGGTTGCGCCGTAAGCAGGGGCACCGTTCTGGAGGTTGCTTCTGCAGCTAGCAAGCAGGGAAACGTTGCGAACACTCGTAAAACGACGACACCAAACGAAAGCTCGCAAGCTGCGTCGGCGACTTACTGTAGCAGCGAAGCAACGTCGGCGACACTTTTTCCCGATGCTGCAACGCGATCGCCGGATTTCTGTCCGCTGCGTTCTTGGAGGCAAGCAGGGCGTTAGAGAAAGCGAGGACTAGTGTGTCAGTAGAGCCAGGCAGAAGCGCACACAGCTCGACGTGAGGCACGACGGTAAAGCCATGCGGGAGTCGTTTTATTGTTGTTAAAACCATGCGAATTGTTAGCGAGTCCGCTTATCGACCACGACGACATGCAGAAGCCTGGGATGATGCGGGTAGCGCAGCAGTAAGCGGGCTCTCCTACGCGGAGGCCAGTAGGTTGGCCAATGGCGTCTGCGGTGCGGCGGGCTCCAGGGAGGCGGGAAGCGGCGGCGCCGGTCGTAGGGGGGCCACGCTGGCCGAGGGTACCAGCTGCCGGGCGCTTGGCGAGCTCGGCCCTTACCGTAGAGAGCCTGGACTCCGTCGATGTCGTCGCGGTCCAGCTGGAAGCCAGGCTCGAAGCCTCGGTAGAAGGGGGCCATCAACGAGCGTCGCACGTCCGAGTGGGAAAGGCCCAGCGAGTGGCCGAACTCGTGCGCAGCCACTTGAAACAGGTTCACGCCTGTGGTGAGAAGGAAAAGATGCACGAGTGAATGGGCACTTTATCCCACGACGATAACCCCAAGCTGAGCGGTATCTGTGAAATATGTGCTTATGTAGAACTACACGGTCTTCGCATATACGCAACGCAGAAAAAGAAGGCGTATGTATAACGTGTCCAGGACGAGCTTTGTGTGTGGGGCATTCTCTGTACAGCTCAACCTTCGTTCTCCGCATTGCATGTACAATCCCTATTTTCAAAACTACTTGTTTCTTATAAAATATTATTTACATTGCCTGCCCTTGTTACGGCTGACCTATTTGGCAATGTCGTTTACCGTGCACACATTACAAGTCCCAACTAATGTTGATATATTTCCCTTTTTGCACCCATGTTCGTGGAACTATATGTGTTTTACGTTGTTTACCTTTTTTTGTATATTAACGATGTTCCTTTTTTCTGCACCTTTTTTCGCATAAATGTCTAACCCAGCGACACCCACATCCAATGCAATACACGAACGAGCGTTTAAGGAAAATTAAGAATAAACATTCTGCCATGTACCACGAATTTCAGCTTGCAATCAATTGGTATCTTTCTTGTTGGTTTCAGGCAGCACATAAATATAGAACATTTGCCAAAGGGGGTGCAGCATGGAGTCGTGTGCACAGACATCTATGCTTGCCTTCTACATTTTGCACTACTTCTTCATGGTGCTTATTTTATGGCGAAACTTACAGAATGCGACGGCGCTGTTTATTTTCTACAAAGTATTTCGAATTTTGCGTATATTTTACCTTAGAAGTGCTTTTGAAGTTCCTTTCCTTTTCTTTCAAGAGATGCGGAATAGGTTGGTTCTCTCGTGGTCAATTATTCCGAGAACGCGAGATTCTGATCAAGCAAGCTCACACTCGCGGTCATTTTTCATCGCCTATTCCCAGAAGCAAGGGTAACTGAGTGGCTTCCCACGGCGACCATGCATGCAGTCATTAGCGAGGCCGATGGGTTTTTCCCTAATCGCGTTGTTCCTCGGAAAGCACCGTGCGGTTGTGCTGGCACAATCACGAGAGGGCGTTCGGATCGACGGAGAAGAGCGCGTCTTCTCGGAAGCACGCCCGCGCCGAGTTTCGCCTTTAGGCACAAGTCACGAGACAAAACAGCGGAGATCAAAACGCTTGACTTTCGTCGCGTACTTCGTGGTCCGGCAGTCGAGAGAGCTTATTTCGTGCACGAAGCATAACATCACGAGTAATTAAGCGGGAAAAGTGGGCGCAGCAGGGACGTGGAGAGTTCGCGAGGGATTGCCCTGCCTTCCAGCGAACACGGAAGAACAGTGTGCGAGTCGAATGATCGTAATGTGCTAGCTGTTGCCGTAATCACCCCTCTATCTCACTACACGCGCGCATCAGCAGTGCGCTGTTATCATAAACATTGAGAACTGTAATGAGAGACCTTCCTGAGCGAATGTTGCGATCTTCTGATCCATTTTGCCTACTCCGTTAACGCCTCTAATTTTTATGCTCACTTGCTCTAATGGCGCTTTTGCAGTTTTTTCAGCTTAATGTTTTCGTATTTTTCTTTTTTATTTTCTTTTCGTCTCTGTGTCTTTCTACGCTAGGAAAAGAAGAGGGAAATACTGTACACTACTCAGCGGAAGGGCGCGAACTCCACAACAGCGTTTCAGCCAGGAAACCGCAGAAGGGCAGCATAGACGTCTTCTACGACCCTGCTGCACACTCCTATACAGCTTACCGAGAATGCCTACACAGGTTTCCCATGGTTTTGACTACCGTGTGCTTGGACTATACCGCTTCTTAATGCTCTTCCACTGCAAGGCCACACACGGAGATGCGAGAACACTTCGAGCAAGATACCATGTGACACTATACCGTACCGCCATAGTACTCGCTTCGTGATATGCCACGCGAAGCGCATGTCCTGATGCCCATTGCCGCCTCTGCAATGCAGATGTACTCGCTAAATAAAGGCAAATTCAAAAAAAATGTCACAGATAGTAACACACACGCATTATGCGTGTGCTTTCACTGTATGGACTTGTAGTGAGAACTGTTCATGACTAAAAAAAAAAGTCTAGGATGAGAAAGGTGACGCGAAGAGTAGTTAACGACCATTGCTATGACATGCAAGTGATATACACCGCTCTATACCTACATTCGCAGTTAGACCTTTGTTGTCAATCTACTTCTACTTTCCTTTACATCGCGCCACACCGAACACGTGACAACTTGTACGCGAACGTCACTTACATAATTAAACCAAAGCGTGATGTCCTATGATGGATAACATAGTACGCAATCGATATACTAGCACGATCTATTGTATAGGCGTCAACTGGCGAAACTCTAGTGTACCTTGGAAGTGTAGCATCCTTGGCTAGTCGGTATGACATGACGATAGTTATAGCGCGAGAACAAAACGACGACACAGAGACAAGAAGGACACGTGTCATTCGTGTCCTTCTTGTCTCTGTGTCGTCGTTTTGTTCTCGCGCTATATCTAGTGTACCAGCTGTCTTTGCGTAGTTCGATTTGTGATACCGTGGTATACTAATAAACAAGACCCCACCCGTGATATGCGCCTGTGGTAAAGCGTGCACGGGGAACGCACCTGTGTACTCGTCTATGGTCCACTTCTCCTCGTCGTCGAAGTGTGCGTCTCCTCCGTATCGCGGGAAGAAGGCGTGCGCCAGGGTTCCGCCGGGTCCGTTGAAAGGGTCGCCGTCGCCGTGCTCTCCGCGCACGAACTGGATGTCGATGTTCACGGGGCCAGTCTTCTTGTGCGTAAAGCTCAGCGGCGATACGTCGGACCACATCTGCGACAGCAAGAGAATATGGCCAACGGATCGTTTTTGTTGCAGTTCTCGAAAGAACCAGAAGCGTACCTAATGTGATGAACACTGTATATCACGTCGATAAGTTTACTAGATACTCCTGGTCACATGTTTCTAGTGTTTTCGTTGCTACGCAGCAGTTTTTTCTATTTTGTGATGAGTAGCATTTCTAGTACGGCATCAGGAGCCAATGTCCAGGTGACCAGTTCATTCAAGTGTTCATTCACGCGTAGATTTGTACTCTTTTGTGATCATCGACAATTTCACGCTGAATACTGGTCATGCATGTATGGGAAAAGGAGTAGCCGGAGCCACACATAGAAACCAACCGCTCCTTAAACGCATTCATTAAAAAACAAAACCGGGACAAATACGCGGACAGTGTTATTTACAGTGCTGGACGAAACTTAACGTCTGCATGTGCGCAAATGTTACACAGAAACGAGACAGCCCAGTTATGTAATTACGCACAGAACTGGCGTCTGCCTTTTCATTGTTCTTTTTTGAGCAGACACGCACTGGAGCGAGCCACAAAGTATATCGCAACACTCTAGCTTGGAATATACGCCTTAGCTCCCTGTGTTCATACATCCGACTTTTATCCAATCTGTACTCTCGACAGCATCCGCGTTGATCTATTTCCGTTCCATATTCGTCTTGCTTCAAGCAGTGACAAACACCCTGAATAGCGCAGGTAATGTACAGACGGGTCCACTGCTAAAGGGAACACCTACGCGAGCAGCACGTTTAGATTTCGCTATCTCACGGAATCACAGCGTCTTAGATATGCATAAGACTACTGGTGGTTGAAAGTTCCGACTTCTCCTGACAGACTATTGACTTGCATGAAAATTGTTTCTTAATCTACTTGCTCTTACAGGGCCAGGAATATTGATGCTGTGTATCCCAGTGTTTCCTTTAACAGTGGACCATACTGTACACTGTCGTCACCGTGGCTTGCGAGCCCAGCTTTAATTTGGGCCCCAGCTTAAATGTGAGATGTTTCCTGCATGCACACCTTGAAGGCCCTAGCAATCTCCTTGTCGACAGCAGCCCGGTCCTTGACGCGACGAGGGTACTTGCTGATCCGATACGATAGCTCGTTGCTGGCCCACTTGGAACCCTGCAGCGCATAACGCCTCCTCCTCCGTCGTGCGTCCAGGCCGAAGCCAACTTTGTCCCGCACACCGCAGCGGGGAAGCTGCATTGTGGCCGCCGTCTCGTTGTCCACTCGTCCTGCGAACAATAGGTTGCACCGTCGTTAGGCAATGGAAAGTCGACAGCATTATTCGCATAGCTATCTGGGGTGTATACCTCTCCACTCCAACTACGAGTTTTTACATTTCGTATCTGTAGATAAACACGTATACGCAACACACGCACGAAAATACCCCAAAGGGAAGTGTCTAATTCAGTGGTTGTTCAGTAGATGAGAAAGATGCGTTCACTTGACTTTCGAATGTAGGCTCATCGAAGGCAACGCTAGCCTTCGCCGTCAGTTGCATAGCAGCTGGGCGTGTATACATAGCTTTGTTTCATGAATCCACTTGAAGAGAGTAAGCTACGCCTCAATATCTTAGGTTGAAGTAAAATGAGTGTGCAAAAGGAGAACACGGAGGACCCTGCCAGTCAAAGGCCCCGCGTGCTATATATGAAGAAACCTCGCCCACCTCCCTCGGCGCCTTGTCACGACAACGTCGCACATCACAAGGGCGCGATGGGACGCATATTGCCGCAAGCAAACGAGCGATGGCGTTTGTACCGCAATCCGATATACGCACGCCCGGCTGGATCCCTGAGTCATTCAACAGTGACAACAGCGGCGCGTTACTTCACCACAGAACTTGCATGCCTTACGTACTCGTGGTTGGTATGTGTGATCCATACCATACATTCGTCCAGCATACTACACTTCTCATAGCTCTACGTCTGTGATAAAGAAACAAGATTTGCGGAAATGTTTTAGGCCCGTGTGCTCAGATTTGGGTGCACGTTAAAGAACCCCAGGTGGTCTAAATTTCCGGAGCCCTCCACTACGGCGTCTCTCATAATCATATAGTGGTTTTGGGACGTTAAACCCCACATATCAATCAATCAATCAAACAAGATTTGCACCGTGCTTGTGCTCCAGTTACTCCAGATACGCGGGTCCCCTTCCGTGTCATTCGGGCGTGGGTTTTTTTTATTACTGCACTTGACTCACAAACCAGTGGGGCAAGATAGATCGTGCGGAGTTGCTTCCGGGGGCGGAGAGGTTCTTTGACTCACCGCCGATTACGCGCCATGCGGCCGGTGCAATAACTGCTTCCCACGCGGTGCTCTCACTTGGCGCGGGTTCCTGTCTGCGCGTGAGTCACAGCTCCTTACGTTGCGCGGCTGTGACAATAGTCGCGTACCCTGTCAACTGCTTCGAGGGAGGCTCGACTCGCGAGCCATTTGTCTCGGGCTCGTGTGCCAATACGCCGTCGCGTTACGGCCCGGGAAGGAGACGGAGCCGCACCTGATGCGACATTATAATCTGTCTTTATATTTTTTGTAACCACGCATTAAGCTTGGGGCCCCATGTGACCTAAGGATCGAGATGGAATGTTTTTCATTTAAATAACTCATTATCATGTTTAATTAACCAACCTGTTAACCTTTATATGGACACCTACATGAGCGCAAAGTTGTAGAGCACCTCCATAAACCACCGACTGAATTGTATTCCGTCCGATGTGTCGCAAGTAGCCCCCTTTATGCGTTGCTCCAACCTCCGCTAAAACAATACGAAATACAAAGCGAAGTCACAAGTTACTGAGACTAATTAAGCAACAAAAAAGAGCAAATAGCAAGATTTTCTGAGCACTTCGGTATTGAAAGTAATTGGTAATGACGTCAAATCGTACAGGCGTTACAACTATGCGCGTGGCTTGCGCCGGTGAGTCGTAACAATAAAGGCACGCAATAAAAAAGACACTGTGAGCACACATTAACCCATCGGTCGCGATGCAGAGTGAGTCACTTACTTCCAGTCACGCAACGCGCAGCTTATGTAGAGCGGGTACCTAGAACGAACCTTTTGTGGCACGCACAAAGACCATCATGCATACGATTCAGAGAAAGCAGCAACGATGTTTTCTTTTAGTATCACGCTTAACGAAGCGGCGTCAAGTTTCGACTCCACGAATACGCTAAACACAGAACTCCGTTTGTTACCGCACTCTCCGGAAGGGACGAAAACATTCAGCGCTTTCCACCGAACAGCGTTTTTTTTTCTTTTTTATTCGTGTCTTATAGTCAGTGTTCTTTGACGATTAGCGAGCAGAAGGTCACCGGAAACAGCGAGCGACCTCTTGTTGTCAAGCGAATGGAGTCTCATCCTCATAATGCACTCAGCGGATGGCTGCTTTGGCAGAATGAAACCGGCTTTTCTTGAATGTTCGCACGGGGTGGGTCCTATATATCACACTTTATAAGTTGCACGAGTGCACCGTTTAAGCGCGATGTCGCCGTAATGATATTCGTAGCGCATAAGCCTGCGCGTGCGCTATTAGTCGCCCACGAAGTTAGTATGAACGTTGCTACATGAAAATACGTCGCTATTCTCATTCGACAGCAGAAAAAAAAAGTGGAGGAAATGAACTATCTCCGTGCAAACACTCTTTAACTTAACGCAAGTCTATAGACCACTGGCAATGTTGTCATGCATTTGAATAAATCCACGCTAGCATTTGCACGCTCATTCAAGCATAAACAATGCACATGGTGGGACCACGGATAAAAAAATATTGTAAACATGCTTACAAGATAACACAGTGTAAAATTAGCACTACACATCACTCAATATAACGCTTTTGATCCTCCCACGCATGTCCATATCGTTTTTCACAGACGATAGACCTTCGACGCCAAAATGTTGGTCTGTCTGTCTGTGCATTTGTATGTTTGTCCACGGTAACAATCTGTTTTTGTGGCATCAAATTTACCAAAAGATACCTCAAACGGCCAACCCCATCCGCAGGGCCCACCAATATTGATCAAGTTTCAGCGTTCGTACTTGTGCGATTGTCAATTAAAGAAGCAATTATTGCGCATATCTGAGGCACCATAACAACGCGTCGATGTTTTGCATGTGTGAGGCACACACAAGTAATTCTAAGGACCTCAGCGTCTATCACGCTGCGCTGACAGTGAACGCAATGCTCAAAAACGCTTTGCTAAGACGACGCGGTGGTGGCACCTGCCCGTCGCTTTGCGTTCTACTCATTATCGCCTCCGAGACAGGCCCGCATCTTTCTCCGCAAGCGCGCACATTTTCCTTCGTTTTCGAAGATAACTGCCAGATTGCGCTCGGGTCTTACGTTTCTCGATGCGCTCGTTCGCCTTCGCTACACGGATCAAGACTCTCTAACGAAGCGCTTCCAGAATACAATTCACCTATTTTCTCGTGCAGGACATCAAAATTAAACGTTTTGTTCACTCTCTCCCCACGCAAGACTGTCGTCTTTTAGCGCCCCGCCGTGGTGGTCTAGTGGCTAAGGTACTCGGCTGCTGACCCGCAGGTCGCGGGTTCGAATCCCAACTGTGGCGGCTGCATTTCCGATCGAGGCGGAGAAATGTTGTAGGCCCGTGTGCTCAGATTTGGGTGCACGTTGAAGAACCCCAGGTGGTCAAAATATCCGAAGCCCTCCACTACGGCGTCTCTCATAATCATATGGTGGTTTTGGGACGTTAAACCCCACATATCAATCAATCAGCGATGTGATGCAAGCATTGCAATTCTTTGCTCTATATTTATTTTTTAACATTTCTTTCTTTTAACAGCTAAAAGCTGCACAACGGCAGCCCTTGTAAATACCATGTGAGCACCACAGCGTGCAGAAATGTCTGTATACAACGTTATTTTCTTTTTTTTCAGTCTACATATCCGTTGAAGAAATGCCCAATCTGTGTTTTCCCCTGTCCTTGCGCTCACAACGGCTCTGAGAACCAGTAAGACCAGTGCCAAAGGTATAAGCAACGTATCGGGTCCTCACCACGCAACGCTTATCGGTTCGTATACGCGTGAGTGGGGACCTTTGGGACTAGAAAAAAACACTTAGATCCTGCTTCCTCTGCTGTAAAATTTTTATTTTCTTTGTCAGTGTACTTTCCGTAAGGCTCGCAGAATTCTGAACAAAATGTTGCTATGCAGGCACCGACGCCACTTCTTCATGGCACTATATGCATTTCCGGCAGCAAAGATTCTCATCTGTTCGCAAAACGGTATGTATATACCGATTTGCGAACTTAGGTTGTCGCTACCTATAGGTACGTTGACAAATACAATCAGGTATAAGGCTTGTTTTCAGTATCCATGCTCTTACTAACGTTTTTCCAGCGACTGATGAAAGAGCGGGGGCGCGTCTCCCACTCAGTAATGACGGAGGATTAGCGAAAGGAGAAATGCGCTTCGCGTTCGCACACTGTCCGATGAAAGCTACACGCGGCTAATGTACTTAAACGAGCGTGGCTTTGTAAATCGTCTGAGTTTGGATTAACACGGTGGCAGACGCCGGCTGCGCTTGACAGAGGGTCGAGAGATGAGGCAGTTGTCGCTACTTGGGTGAAAGCGAAAAATTCAGGCACTCATGGAACCTTGTGAACAGTGGTGCCCTATTCCCTTCCCACAATGCGGAAGAGACATCGGGACAAACCATCTATTCCCTCTCTTAGCGGTGCAGCACTGCGCTGTATATAGATTATCCACATCCGAAGCGAATTGTGGACGCCGGTGGCAGCTACACCTATAGCAGCGGCGCGCAGCCTTGTACGAGGCGGCTGGACAAACAAGCCGGCGAAGTGGACGTCAGCGTGTCCTTCCACGGCACCGTGCCGCCGCTGCCGGTCCGGGAAAAATAAAGAGCGCGCTTGACCGACCGCATGACGTCACCGCGCCTCGTAATCGCACCATCGAGACGGGCGCTCGGGCGGAGCCCTTGAGCCACGTTCCGCTGAAGTCCAGAGGCCGCCTTTCGAGGCGACCCCGTGCGTTCGAATAGGAACTTTCATTTCAAGCGTGCGCTGCTGTGGCACGTGCGTCTTTGCAGATGACGCAAGCGCTTCCGATGAGTATGAATGACGCTTCAGAATAGTCTTCCCTAACGGTCGATTGCACGTTTACAAGGAAGGAAGGAAGGCGTCTGATTGAGTGTTTCTAAATCGACGCCCTGCCGGTTGTCCGCAGGCGGGCCCACCGGTCTGCCTCGACTGCGCATCTAGAGGTTGTCAGTTTCAGCTATCGCTTAAATGAAGGAGCAAGGTGGTGCAAATGTTTCCTTCGAGGTGCGCGCAATTTGGGTTGCCTTGTAAGGCTTACCCCCGTATTCTAGAACGTCCCTACACTCAACACTTCACCTTCACTTGAGAAATCCGATGGGAGCGCCGTCTCTAGGCACGGCAAGTCACTGCATATCAGCGATTATCTGCTGCGATTCTTGAGTAGCACAGCGTCATTTTTAGCCGGGCTGTGGCGCAGTGCTCAACTCTGTCAAGTGAAGGGTGAAAGTCGAGTCGAGGAACGTTTTGAATACGGGGGTTAGCATCCGAAAGCGACTCGGGCTATGAAAGGCACCCTAATGGAGGGCCCCGAATAAATACGATCAACCATGGGGTTTCTTAAAGTGCACTGAAGCCGCACAGAACACTGCCCTCGAGTGATTCGGTTACACCTGTGTGCGACCACCGCGATAGGACCCGCGCCATTGGTGTCGGCAGACGGGCATCGCGTATCCACCCGCTCAATGTTGCTCAACCAAGTATCAGAGCCTTTCGTGTAACTCTGTGGCCCATAATTCTCAGTGAGCTCGCTGCCTTTTTTTTTTTTTCACACAAGACGATGGCCACGAAATCTGCAGAAGCCACTGGGGTTCCATATTCCGTGCTTACTCGCACACACAGAGCCCAGTGGCACAGATCTCGCAGTGTTAACTCAGCGCGAATAACTCGGAGACATATTGCGCTGCAGGAACCGGTGAAAGAAGGGGGACCCCCGCACGTCACGTATATATATACCCTTTTGTAAACTTCTGAAGGCGCTGCCTTTCCGGAAAGTTCCATAGCCCCGGATAATTATAGATCACTAGCGGAAAACCTACAATAACGAGAAATGCAGAAAAAGAACGGTGCCCGATAACAGATTGGGCCGATCTTTTCTAATCGCTCGGCGCGCGGCCAATGAAGATGTAAATGAGGCGTGGAAAACCCAGCGGCCGCCACGCTTGTTGTCGCCGAATGAAATGCGCACGTTCGAGAACGTCGTCAGGTGCGGCGCGTATAGTGCATCAGCCAGTGCAAGTTCACCGATCGTCTCACAGCCACGCCATGCATGCCAATGCGTCCACTTTGTAAAGGCGTTCGGCCGGACTGACGCATCGTTTCAGGGCTATAACATTTTTCCTTTTAAAGTGGCTGGAATGCGATCGGCAAGCAGGAATGTCATACGCGAGCAGCAGGTTTGCCTAGTACCTACTTCACCTTCTGCCTCCCGTGGTGCGTCTATGTGAAGTATAAATAAAAATATATATCTAATCAAGGTCCCTTATCGCATGCTAAGACGACAGTAAAAGTACGTCTGCAGTACAGACAGTAGCAGTACAGACAGTACGTCTGCTCTGCTTTTAACGAGTGCATTATTTCCGCGGCCTTTTCAACCCTTCACAATCGCGCTAAATTAATTTAAAATGCTTTTAATCGTTCTCAGTTATTTTTTTTTACTCTTAATCACTTTCAATCAGTTCGTTCTTCACTCTATCGTGCTTTGATGTATGTTAGGCACCTCGTATGATGTCTTCAACATTTTGTAACCATTCATGTTGACACCGCCTGCGTCGACGGTCAGTTTAGACGTTTAATAATGTATTTGAGGCTTTCGCCTTAACAAACAAAGATGTATAGCAACAGTATACACGGAGAACAACGAAAAACAGATTGACCAAATGTACTTTGAATGGGGCGCTTCCCTGATGCGTACAACCTGTAAAACGCACTCTAAATACTTCCACGTACTAGTCTCTCTCTCTCTCTCGTTTCTTAGACCTGTGTGATTTGAAGGACTTGGCGACGGCGTACTCGTGGATGTATGCGTAAACATGGTTTGAATCCCAACCCATGATATCCCTGATGTTACCACCGGAGATTTCGTCAGCGAGGAAATTTAACAGCTATACTTTTTTAGACTGATTTTATACCCTGTTAGTCACCCTATGGTGGTTTTCCGACTATCAATTATTCGTGAAAACTAATTTAAAGTTTCGCTTAGGTGTCCCTTTAATTAATTAAATAAACACCCTACTAGGCAGGATTAAGTGGTTACGTTATCTATGCATACGCGCGTGTGCCGGTCTATGTGCAGGCAAACCATGGTCGTGAGGGAAATAAAAAACGAGTAAGGAAGGAAGGAAAGACCGTAGCGACACATGCGAGATACCGTCCGGCCAAGGACGATGTGTTAAGCGCAGAGCGTCTTCGGACGCGCGTGACGCCGTCGTTGCGGCGACGCGCAATCTTCGGCGCGTTTCCTGCTCGGAGACGCGGCTCGCCGAAGTCGTCAGTTTGTGACAACCCGCGCCGTCGCTCGCTGCAGTGTTGTGTAACGACGCCAGACAGGCTTCTTCTTGCGCCGATAAAAGTTTCCGAGCGCACATCGAGGATTGTCGCGCGTGACGTAATTGCCGGAATTTTCCTCTCGCGAGAATGCCTCATTCGCGCAAAACGATACAGCGCGTTCAAATGGGACGGCTTATGCGCGCGCGCGACAGTTCAACAAGCCGGTGTCAATCCACAGGTGAAGGCGATTCCGGTGACAGCGCGAGGAAACGGAAGTTCGACGCGATGGAGCTGACAAATAATCGAAAATGTCGCGGAATCAAAACGAAGAATAAGAAAAACGAGTGTGTATATTATACGTCTAGCTATATCAACAGGACGCACGTGTAATAAATATTGTTGAAGTTTTACGTCCCAAAACCACGATATATTATAGTTTTGAGGGATGGGTAGTGGAGGGCTCAGCAAATTTTGACCACCTCGCGTTCTTTAACGTACACCTAACGATAATCACAAGGGCCCGAAGCAATTTGCCAGGATTGATTGATTGATATGTGGGGTTTAACGTCCCAAAACCACCATATGATTATGAGAGACGCCGTAGTGGAGGGCTCCGGAAATTTCGACCACCTGGAGTTCTTTAACGTGCGCCTAACTATAATCACAAGGGCCCGAAGCGATTTGCCAGGATTGATGATCGGATCAGACGACAAACGCCACAACCACCAGACTACCGTGGCGGGCTCGGCGCTTCCTATAAACGGATCCCCGGTCATCCGCGAATGGGCGGTCCTTCAAGGTCGATCAACGGAAGACTCACCGGTGACCCTGATACCGGCGAACCGCTGGAACTCCTTGACGGCGTCGACCAGGGCCTCCTGGGAGCGCAGAGCCGCCGTGCCGTTCTTGGTGGGCGCGATGTAGCCGAACTTCTCCAGGTAGTTCTGGTGAGAGAGAAAGACATCGGGCTCAAGGTTTCGTTCGAAAGCACGCGAACGACAAATATTGTGCGTTGAAGTCGCACTTTTCTACAACAGCGCGATAAGAAAGCGGCATCTGTGACCCCAACTCCAGATTCTGACAGTTCCTCTCTATAGAAGGGAAGGCGCAGCGTTGGTTTCATGCCCTCTCCTCCCCCTTTCTGTGGCAGTTCCACTTACTAGCTGGCCGTGGTGCAGAAATATTCATCGGGGAGGGAGCAAGGATGAGGTCAGCCATATTGTATGTAACCATGTGCGTGCGTTTGTATACGTGTGTGCATGCAGAAATGGATCATTTAGAGGGGGGGGGGGAGAAGGAAGACTGCAGCCATCAAACCTCCCCCCCCCCCCCCAATGCGTGAGGTTCAGCTGGACTATGTTCAGGGCATGTATACTGAGCAAATGTGACATTATTATTATTAATTAATTGACATGCATACATAAATGCACACAGTGGATATAGGAGAAGAGCAGGCTGTCGGTTGGCCACCGGAGAGGTCCGACGCCTGCCTACACCTGCACACAGTTTGCGTAACTTAAAGTGATGCGTATGCATGCAACAAACCGCATAAAAGAGACTTCCAATTTTTATATTTAAAATGCAAATTTCTGCAAACCTCGGAAGGGTCATGGCTCACCGTCGTAAAGGGGAAAGGCAAGACATTGTAGAAAAGAGTGGAGAGGACCGTCTACTCGAGGTACGCGTTAAAGAGCGCCAGGTTAATGTCACCTAGAGTACCTCGATGCGCATCGAGGCGCCATATAATGCGACCTATATTTCCGAATGAGAAAAAGCGGTGGGTGCTTGCTCGCTGCAACCTGGACTCGGAAGCGGCAACCTATCGCATCGGAAGCGGCTGATCTCCTTTCCGCTGTTATCACCTTAGCACTGAGAACACCTTCAGTCACTCTATTCCGCTTTCTTTTTCTTTGTTTTACATTTTTTTACAACGGCACCGCGCTAACGTTTTCTGGCATTGCGTAATCTTTGGTGATCTGCCCTTGGTGGCCCAGCGGGCCGAGATTCCGCGACGGCAAGGCTGATGCTGATAACTGGTTGCCAACGGCAGATGAACGTATAATGCAGACGGTACACCTTATCGCGCAACCTTGACGCTACTCCTTTTCAGCTTGGCGACGTGCTCTGGCACCAGCGTTCCGCATCTAGTCAAAGCAGATGACAACTGATATCGACTAAACGGCTTAGAGAAGCCGTACAGAACGATGGGTGACACGGAAATTCCGGTTATTCCATTTCGGTGACGGCAAATACTTACTGTGTGAAGGTATAATTAAGCATCTTTATGCGTGGGGAACATAGCTGAAGAAGGAATACGTAAATACAGCGAGGGAATAGCTGCAAGAGAGTGGGAATAGCTTCGCGAGCACACCATTGCCTCATTATGCGTAAATTCACGCACTTACAACATTCATCAGTCATTTTGTTGAATTCGCTTGTGCTGATGCTCACATATAGTTATGTTGAGCTATCAGTATGGGTACAAGGAAAAACCTGTACTGATTCGAGATCTCCTTCATATTCATGCACACGTTCAAAACAAGGTGGGCAGTAAGGTTTCGATTACATCCTTTCATCCATATAGGAATGACACAAATGATTGACAGATCAGGTTATCGATCAAAAGGATTGATTGTTGGGCCAGTTGGTCGCGCGTCTTCATCTTCTTCAGTGTCCTCGTCGGCTGCATTTCGCGCTATAGCATGTCTCAGCGAAACTATGGATGACTAGTCCTTTCGTGTTGTCACTTATCTCATTTCCTTCCGCGTTAATTGTTTTTCAAGATGCAACATACTAATCTTGTGAAACATAGGCGCGCATACGGAAACGAAATCAAGCATCTAATTCAACGTTTCGGCTCAGGTATACGAAGACCAAATGGCTTTCGTAGCAATAAACGTGCGCTGTTGGATGCCATGAAAGTTAATCGCCGAAGTTTCGGTCAGTAAAATATGCTCTTCATTTCAATCCAGCATGACTGGACGCGGCCGATCAAGAAGACTTGTCGTACGGTTGCCCGATGCTTACCTGCTTATGTTGATAGTTTTCATATTACTTTAGTGTCCTCGGTAAACAGCACTTGTGCGGACCTGCTCAGCACTTGGCGTCGCGAGGCGACACGAAGGGGGGAACGATGATTACCGTTTTCGTTTACTTTTTGTTTAAAGTGCGTACCACATCAGAGGCCCGGCTAGTCATCCATCCATACATAGCATGTGGCGTAGTTCCGCTCACAATCGAGCGCTCAATACGGGCCAAAGCATGCCTGACAAAGCCGGGTTAAAGTGAATAAACAACTTAGAAAACACATAATTAACCACAATAACCAAAAACTAATTGCAATAGTTGCCTTAGGATCGCTAAATATGCTGAGGACACATACGGTCGACTTTTGCGCCGCCGAACGAATGGAGCCCTGCTCCTCTCAAAGCCACATCGTCGGCGCTTGGTCGCTATAAATATGAAGAGCGAAACTGCCTGACGGAACTGGCTGCAGACGACACGCATCTCAACTGCCGCAACAAGCACGGAAGCCGATAAGACGCATCAAAAAGGAGCGAGAACGTTGCACACCGAGTTTGCAAATCTCCCTAAGATGATTTGAGCCGCGTCGAGGAAACCCTATATACATGCTTACTTCAAACATTGACGTCATCACCGGTTTAGTAGACGGACCAATGGGAACTCTACGAACGGAAATCGCTGCGCGACTGTGTTACGCACTTCCTTGGGTTTCATAGTGGTAGAGCTGCACTTAGCTTTTTTATTCTTCCTTGTTTGTAGCTGTCACAAACGAGCCATCAGGCCTTAACCGCGTTGGCATTCCTCGAAAAACTGACCGGGCTGAGCTATAGACCGAGATAAATATCGGTTACGCGGCTTCGACAAAGGCAGCTTGGCAGTTAAAAGGTCTCCTCCCTCGTCCTAAACCTTCTCTCGTCGTAAACATTCGTGACACATGTACGCGCCGCAACAACACCACGGGGCGCTGTCTCCGCGCGGTGGTCATCGCGATGACTCTTCTCGCGTTTCGCTCAGAGCAGTCTGTGATCAAGTGGGCGCGCGTGCAGCCGAGCATGGCCCGACTATCGACGAAGGCGTCCCGTCGGCCTCCGAAGGCAGTCTTCTCTGAGCACGAAAACAACTCGCGACCGTTGCCCTGAATGATCTGTGCAAGTCATAGCTTCGTTTCTTTTTTTTCCTTCGTCTCAACGCGAATCTGCATGTATTGGCTTCCAACGGGTTCGAAAGGCAGCGCGAGTTAAGCAGAAACGTTCGCATCTGTCTTCGTACCGGCGCGTGCTTGGAAAAAGTGACTCACGGCGGGCGACGGAGGTTGCGAATCACGTTTCGCGCCGCTTTGCGCCCGCCCGCCAAAACAGCCTGGTAACGTAATCGGGCCGGTGTCGACGCGGTCTGAGAATAACAAACGAACGAAACTGCTTTCCGGAGTGCTCCATTGATTCATGCGTGGAAAGTACAATCTTCTTGAGCGGGTAATGTACTATTAAAGAAAAAAAAAAGAAAGAAACAGGGCCCGGCTGATGTCTTGGGGGAGAGGGGGGGGGCGGAGCTTAAAGCGAGACGTGTTTTTGTTTCCTGCTTCTCGGAAGCAATAGGTACGCACAGTAGGTAAAACGGTGAGCTCGGAAGAAAAGCATGTTCGCAGTGCCACCGCTGTTGCTGCACACGGGGATGGTGGTCATAAATCAATTTCGCCGAGCAGCTTGGTGACATAAAGTGTGCCGTATGCAGTAGCGTTGCGCTGTGTACGCAACACTATGCATTGTTCGACAATCCAAAGGAAGATGCCGCGCAGCATTTCATTGTATCGGAACCACGCCAACAATGAGCGTGAAAGCTGACTGAATTTTGTTTTCGTTAATTGCACATCCTGTCTCAGCGTGATGAGGTATGGCTAAAGTCGGACGATCACTGTCGTCCCTCAAGCGCAAACGACCTCTGCGACACGCACTCGTGAAGTAACACCAACAGACCTTTATAAAACTTCCACCCTCGATAACATCACGCGTAAGCGACTATTTAATACGCGTCCCCGCAGCCGACCAACGTCAACAATGCCAAGGCTTTGTACGAGTCTCGGTACGACACGCCTCCCGACTGTGGGCGCCATTGCTTGCTCTACACAACGAAGAAAAGCCCCACTTTCAAGGCTAACGCGGCTGCAGAGCCGCGCCACTTCCCGTATTCGATTCAGAAACCTTGCCGTAGCTCGGATGGTGGAAAGGAGGACCAGTGCACGCCCCAGTGAAGTCGCAGCGAGCGAAGGACCGAACGCCGGCTGTGCCAACACTCGAGCCTTCGCTCATTCAGGGTCGCCCGTGAAAACACTCAGCGGGGTCCTTCCGCGAGACACAATTCTGTCGATCGGGAGACGATGTTTGCCGCGGCGAACGCTCTGTAAACGGGGCCCGTTCCTTGAGCTGTTACTGTTAGTGAATGAAAAATACACTATAGGCTGCAATAATAGACACGTTCTCACGAGCTTTCGAAGCACTCTGTGAGACTACGACCCCTGATTTTTGAACGGCGCATCGTCGTGTTGACGTTCACAAATTATTACTTTTTTTTTCCTGGACCCTTCTTCTTTAGAATAACTTGTACAACGATATTGTGTGCTTCGATTGAGTCATTTACAGACCTAATGCGGTGTATTGAATACTCATTTTGGAATTGATCTATTTATTCTCCTGCTTGTTTAAATCAGAAAACCCATAACTCGAACTACGGTAGTAAGTAAAGGTAGGTTGCTTGCAAAAGCGGTTGGCGCGAAATACACAAAAATTATGATCATTAAGCAAACGTGATATCCGGCCATGATTATCTCCAGTTGTACACGGCTCACGTCTCAACGTGGAAGTAAAACTGATTTCGAAATAATACGTCACTAGCAAACGAGTTAGGGGGAGACAGAAAGTTAGGATGGGCAGATGAGATTAAGAAGTTTGCGGGTATGAAGAGGCAGGAGCAAGAACACGACCGAGTTGACTGCCGGAACATGAGAGATGCCTTTGTCCTGCAGTGGATGTAGTCAGGCTGATGATGATGACTTCACTATCCCGAAATGATTTAATGCTGCCACCCGGCGTTTCTTTAAGGAGTCCGATACCCGCGAAGATATCCGCAAAAAAATCGGCAGATCCCACGTATACCTTGGAAATCGACGTTATGCGGTGCATTCGGAGGGAAAGTGGCCGTGCTGTAATGTTTTTATTGAGTGACAGGTGACGAAATGACGGGAAATATATGTATGAATGTTGCATGCCCAGATATATGTTCAAGAATTGCAGATGTTTATATGACCAATTTGCACTTGCGCAACGTTGCCAACAAGAACACGAGTATTAGCAACACCAGAAGTGATAAGATGATACGAACCACTGGTGCTCGTGAGAATGGTAGCCCTGGACACTGCTACATAAATCAACTCCAGCAGACGACGTCCAACTAAAACTGACGATAACCCGACGTCACGACTTCATTTAAAGAGTATATATGTAAGTTTATAAAATCTGATAGCCAGCACTGCAACCACAACTGACATTTCACGAACATTTGGAAAACACTTGCGAGGGCTAGCGTGGTTCTGTCGTAGAATGCTTGATTACCACGCAGAATGCTTGAATTCGATTGCTGCTGGGACAACGACATTAATTTTTTGCATGTGTGTTCCCGTCGTTCCTGGGTAGATGCTAAGTTTCGATCACCTGTGGCACTTACCTGCCCACGGGTATGTGCCACTGTTTGGCGAGAAGTGTTTGACGACGTACGCGACGGGATTGCGACATTATTTATGTGTTAACTATAGCGCGTCAAATTCGTCATACCATCTTACCTTCCCATATACGCTAACAAGGGAATGTCACGAGAGCACCCAGACGCAAGCGGATAGATAATATAGATGGACACGCAGAGAGAAGCCGAAAGTGCTTACAGTACGCAAAGAAGTGCTTCGCATTTAAAACGCATACGAAGGCCAATTCACATCGTAGCACCAAGTGTTGCGAGTTATTAATCGCAAAAAGTACATTACATACGTGATGCAGACGTGTAATACTGCTGAAACGAATTCCGTTTTGCTGTTGCTGATATCAATAGGCTATCATTATGGAAAATATCCACGGGATCATCATTCGCTGTTTGCGATCACTCGACATTGCGACTTTTTTTTTCATTTCGTTAAAATAAAAACAGAAAAATAAGCTGCATACTTCGAATTGAAATGGACGCAGTCGCAGTGGATCATCCTGATCAGTGGACATGAAGAACGCAAAAAAAAAAAAGAGAGAGAGAGAGAGAGAGGTACACTTGTTTCAAAGAAACTTCGGCAACAGGAAAGTATATTGCGAGCAGTTACGGAGGTCCGTTCAATCCAGGCATTAAAACTGGGAGGACTCTATAAGCTCACTTTCAGTTTTACCATGACTGTATACCCATTCCTGCGGAGGGACCCGTAAAAGCCACCGTATGCTGGCATAAAGACCCAACCAATTGCTCGCGCACTTCAAACGCTGCCGATGCTGCGCAACTAAGTTATCATTTGTTAAGGGAAAAAAAAAAAGCACTTGTTCTCGCCGCTTCCCTCGGGGTGCGATCGTTTTGGACAACGTCCAAGGAGTGGGTATAAGACGCGCGGCGCATGAGGGACACTAATGACCGTCTCCAGTCCCTGGCTAATACGCGCCACCACGGCCAATATTCGCGCGACGTCACAAAGCAGCCGCGACGTGTGCCATTCGTCAATCGCACTCTCCATCGCGCTTGGCTTCCCATCAAGGAAGAGGCGCTAAACACGCGGAAGACTATACAAAACTACGCCAGGACTCGTGTATACGTTGACGAAGCTCGAAGGGAACAACTCGCATTACGGAAGCGTCTAATGATGGACGGATCGGCCAAGCGTGCCAAGGACGGGCTGCCATCAGGCCTTTCGCGCTCGCAGCTGATTCAGAAGCTCGCATGATCGCGGCTTTTGTCAGCTCACGAGGCACGTCAGCGGGGGGCCTCAAGTTGAGCGGTTGCACTTACGGGAGTTGCAAAAGTCACGCCGCTCTCGTAGAAAGAAGTCGTCTATAAAGGTGCCGTGTATAGGTAGCAATGCCTCCGCATGACTCCCCGCCAAAGGAACGACACAGGTCACCTTATAGCGTCGCGATCGATTTCACGCCTACTACGTTGCGCAGTATAACGCGTAAACAGAATACTTTAAAGTGTTCCTCCGTACCAGGAAGCCACGTGCCGTGGCTACCTGCCGGGAAACTTGAAAAAAGAGAAATAGAGCGTGGTTCATCCAAAAGAATGATGATGCACCGTTTTACGGCAACTTGCGCTCATTCTATTTCGGCATGGCTTGACAGTCCAAGAAAATTTTGATTGATATGAGGGGTTTAACGTCCCAAAACCACCATATTATTATGAGAGACGCCGTAGTGGAGGACTCCGGAAATTTTGACCACCTGGGGTTCTTTAACGTGCACTCAAGTTTGAGCACACGGCCCACAGCATTTCCGCCTCCATCGGAAATGCACCCACCACAGCCGGGATTCGATCCCGCTACCTGCGGGTCAGCAGCCGAGTACCTTAGCCACTAGACCGCCACGGCGGGGCGATATCCGAGAGAAAAAAGCGCGATGTATGTTTAACATCTGCCGCTAATGATAATTTACAAGTGTCATAAAGTGTTTCTTCGTGTCTTTATAAAGACACGAAGAAACAGCGTGAACCTGGATTACCCAACAGCTATTCGGGGATCTGCGTTTGATGCAGATCGTGTGAAACTAGCAAGATACAATGAGGAATGATAACATCCGCTAACGCTCCACGCCGACGCTACGTTGCGGATGTAGTGCAACGTAAGCAATAAACGCTCCACGCCGACGCTACGTTGCGGATGTAGTGCAACGTAAGCCAACACCAGAGAAAACGCACAATCTTCCTGGTAAGAATGAGGCTGAATACTGAAAATATGCTGATGCATCTAGGAGGGTGAAATCACCTTCCTCCTACGTTTTTTTTTTCTTTTTGCGGAACCTTCGAAACGCTTCTTCGGAGGAGGAAACGGAGGATCAACATGCAAGCGCGCTTAGAAAGCGGCAAATCATAAAAAAAAAAGCAAAAGAGGAAGAAGGCTCTGCTCGAAAAAAAAAAACAAAAAAAGAGAAGAAGAGTTGGACCGACCTTGAACTCAGCGGCAGCCGCTCTCGAAGCCGTTCACAAGGAGCGCAGGTAAACAGGGCGACTCCCAGCAAAAGGCGAGCCGCCCGTCAACCTGTGCGGCAGAGCAAGGCGGTCGTCCTCCCGAATAAATTACACCCCGCACCGCAGCTCGTCACTTTCGCCCGGGTGGAAGGCACGTCAGTCAGAGGTTGCCGCACCTTTTGCCCTCCCGAGCATCCGAGAAGGAATGCGACAGGGTGGCCACACTCGACACCGTTCGTTCCTCACTCACGAATTGCCCTGCTGGTGGTGCTCCGGTGTTGACAAACATGGAAGTGCGTCTATAGACAAACACCGTAAGCAGTGACACCTTCCTTGATTCAACGACCGGGCGGGAAAGTGCGCCAGGCGTGTCATTCCCCGCGACGAACCGAAGGGACAAGTAATTGAGACGTTGCACATGCAAGGCGCATAGAAGGGCGCTTTTCTTTGAAGCTATTGTGCGACCCGCGCGGCTCTCGAGCGAGCGTGGATGATAGGAAAGCGGAAGAGGAAAATATTCGACATTCTCCGAGAGTGACCGACTCTACAGAATTTGATAACTTGAAAAGAAGTGATGGAGGTAGGATATACGATCTGCGTTTCTTTTACAAAGATTTGGGTGCTGTCAATAATCGAAAAAAAAGGAAAAGAGGGTGACCAGGAATGTTTTTGGGAAAGTGTAGGAATTAACATCACCGAAATGGCCACGACCCCTTTATCGGTGCTCTCACTAACACCGAGAGGCTCCAGAAACAGCAAGGGAAAGAAACGAGTGGTGATGTTGAGAACAATACCTGCCTTGCAAGCCGTCAACCGACGAAAGGAACTCCAAACACAAGTATAGATTAGCACAGAAGAGGCGAACGGCTCGATGAAGAGGCCTTGCCCCACTACTGCCAATATCAAGGGTGCCCCGTACCAAGGCCAAGGGCACGCGGCCGAAGCACGATGAAGAGACCCCCGTCGCCAGCTTGGCTTTCCGGGCAGAAACAACACAGCGACGGACACACGGTGTCCGTTCAAATCACGGCCACAAAACTGCACCGTTGGGCTGTTTCTGTCGGGGCCCAGACGTCGGGAGTCTTCGCGCTTCGGCGCGGCAACGTCGCGCATGAAGCAACAACTTCGCAGACGACGTCGGCGCAAGCAGTCGTTCGAACGAGCGTCCTTGGTCCCCTTTTTTCATCTCCGGTCCAAGTATCAAGGCCTCGAGGCCACTCACCATGGCCATGTCGCTGGACTCCAACGAGGCTGCACTGGCGAGCAAGCATGACGAAGATGCCACGAGGAGGAAGAGGGGCAGCACGGGCGGCATCGTGGACAGGAGGAGCCGGAACGCGTCGACTAGTCGCTGGCGGCGCATGGCTTTGTTTTGCGACGGCGTGCTTCGTCCGCCGCTCTTATGAGGGCCCTCCTTTCCCCCGCCGCGGGTGAGAGGCCGGGGCCGCCCATTGGCCGCATCTCTACCCGTTTTCTCCCGTAGCTGCTTCGTCGGCGAGGAAGGGCGCGCGTGGTGTAGAGCCCGGGCCTTGAACCCGGACTGGAATGCGCCTCGGGGACAACAACCGAGACCACCCCCGCACCTGTCATGGCCCCCCCCCCCAAAGTTGGCCCCGTATCGGAGGTTCACTCGGCAGCGCGTCTGACCACCAATCGTTCGTCACCGGGGCAAGGGGGCCTAGTGGGAAAGCCGCACTGCAGGTGTTCCACGCCGAGGAAGCTCGCTTCCGGCGCGGCTTCCTTCCGGACGGGCGCGGGAAAAGGTGACGTCAGGTTCGTCGGACGACGGCCCCGAGCCGTTCACCACGATTCCTGGAGCCGGTCTGGGCGGAGTAGCGCTGTTGGTGCTGGCGAAGCGCCAAGCCTCGTTTTCCGCGAACGCCGCCGCCGGCCCCAGACAACGACGACGCCGGCCCAGCGACGACGGAGACTCGGACCTCCGCCGTCCCGGCCCGAGCACGCCTGACCACTGCCACAATCTGACCACTGCCATGACCACTGCCGTTGTAATGGCAGTGGTCAGCAGCCTGACCACTGCCATTACAACGACGCTGCCGGTGCCTTGTGTTGAGGTTATCGTCCTCTCCTCGTCTAATAGAGGCAAGGAGATTCTAGAAGGGGCAGCGATCTTACACTCTGTGTCAGCAGAGAACAACTTGATTGCGAAAGAAGTTGACCCTCAACATTATTAAAATCAATACCTCAGCATAGCCTTAGTTGCGTGAGGATTGATTGAGTGGCCACTCCACCTTACAGCCACAGGCATCGTGCGCGATCATTTCAGAACACACACACACACACACACACACACACACACACACACACACACACACACACACACACACACACACACACACACACACACACACACACACACACACGTTGTTTACGTGATCTTTTCTCATTATATATATATATATATATATATATATATATATATATATATATATATATATATATATATATATATATATATATATATATATATATATATATATATATATATATATATATATATATATATATATATAGCTCATAAACTTTAAGAGAAAAGATTTACATCTTACGTTAAGGTAATAGAGTTACATCTTGGCAGGGGGCTCTGTAACCTACTGGCCAGATCACGGCATGAGACGCACTCCTTGCCAGATATCGCTGAATGTGAGCTGGGATCTCGAGCTAGCAGGTAGCGGGAGTTACTGCAAGTATTTTCACTTGAGTGCCTCACCACTCCTCGGCTACATACCCGGTAAACTTGCTTCTGTGTTACTCATTATGTAAGCGAGGGTACTCCTGCGCGGACGATATAGAGTTCACGGTTGCGGAGGGGAAAGGATGTCTATTTTCGGCGTTTCTGTCGGAGGACTTCGCCAGAGCTCACGGCATGAGATTAGCACAGCCAGTGGAATCTTGAAAGGACGTACGTGGGGGCAGACATCCGGTCACTTTTTTTATGCTATATTTGTGACTTGTATACAAAAAAAAGAAAAAAATACTAGAAACTCAACAAGATTTCGATGCTGTATTTGCGACTTGTCGAGACAAAGAAAAAAAAAAGAAAATAGCAGGAACCCGACGATAATCGGGACGCTTCGTGCTCGCGTCAATGATAACGTTGCGAAGCGAAGCGGTTGCGAACGCGGGAAGCATTAGATTTGCTGAGTGCGTATGTGACAGGAATGAAACGAAGTAAGTAATCCAATCATCGAGCACACGCAGAGGAACAGACACGTATAGAGGTGTGGTGTCGAATGCCGGGCAGGTGAGTTATAGGCAGTCTTGCCTGCCTGCCAGTTAAAAGCTATGCGGTTGCGAAGGTTGAATGCTTAAATCGTGTATAAGAGGCAATGACATCTCTCGTGTTTTCCTAATCACAGAAGTGCTGCTCTTGCTGCGGCCATGTTAAACAGGCAAGCTTCTGAATTCAACTTGGCCCCCTAACTTTATCACAAACCTTGGCACGCTTGCCCTGCCCTATAATATTTATTTATGATTCTCTGATTACTTTGTACTCGTCTACCACAACAGGAGTAGGGAAATACTACTACTACTACTACTACTACTACTACTACTACTACTACTACTACTACTACTACTACTACTACTACTACTACTACTAATAATAATAATAATAATAATAATAATAATAATAATAATAATAATAATAATAATACTTGTAGGGTTATAACGTCCCAAAACCATCATACCAATGAAACGCGCCGTATTTGAGAACTCCGGAACTTTCGACCACCTGATGTTCCTAACCTAAACCTAACCTAACACGTGCCTCCAGCATTTTCGCCTCAACCTAAATTGCGGGCGGAGCTGCCGGGATTCCATCCCGTGACCAACGGGTCAGCAATCCAGCTCCATAACCATTATATCACGTACCGCGGCGTTGTAGTATAGGGTAGCTGAAAACAGAAGCACAGTGAACGCAAAGTGCGTCTACAATTTAGTGTTTTCGCGTAATGTTGTCAAAGTATATCCTGAATACGTGTATCCCTCACGAAAGTAGCAACCTTGGTTTGTTGGTACAGCGTACTTTCAAACGGCGTGGACAGTCTGGGCGAAAAGGAGCAGCGCATGCCACCTTGCGCTCCTTCTGTTGTCTACGCTTTTACTCACGCCTAAGAAAACCGATCAAATGACTGCGTTTACAATGTAAAATGAGCCGATGATTATTCATAAACCACGTGATTGATGCTCGAATAGCTAAGCAGAACCTGCTCCTTTGGCACTGAGAAAAGGTAATGTACGCTGCGGCAGGTTAGAGCCGAAGTAAAGAAAAGTAAAAAAAAAGAACCTTAGCATGCTCAGGAAAAAAAGAATCTATTTTCAATACATCATTTCCAATAAAATATTCACTTTCAAGACCTTCGGATAACAGGCCGCCTATGAAAGAGAGTTTAAGTGTGGTGTCATTTGAGAAAGCGAATGAGGAAAAGGAGGGCCTCCGGGATGGGCGTTGCTATTCTGACGGCCGCGTTATGTGAGAGCCTTGCGGCTGCAGAGTCGCCAGCGATTACCGGTCGTCCGGCACAGGCGCAGCTCTGACTGACAGGCGAGCAAAAAGAACCAGCCGCCAGTGGTTCCGCCGTAAGCGCCACTTCTCTCTCTCTCCTTCTCTCTCTGTGTGAGATCCATGCACATTTTACGTGTAGCGCGTCGTCCTCTGCTGCTTCCATTCTGCGCTGATTTGTTTGCATCTGCTCGCTACTCTGGCAACAAAAAAAGACTCTCCGCCTGACTCGCTGTATGAGAGCATCGGAGCGCGACTTTGCTAAATGGAGACTTCCAGCTAACTCTGCATTTACCCGGTATTCCCTGACAGGACGGAGGGTTCAAAGACATCGCACGGTGGCACGCCGCGCGCATGGTGTGAGTACTGTCCATCAGGCTTCATGGTCAGTGCTATATATAGGTTCGTGCATGTTGTGAACGGTGTTCATTGACAAAGACGAACCTTTCCTTGCAGCATGCGCTGTAGATGCTCATCGGTTCGAAACAATAGTGCGTGCCCTTGAACTGACCCTTGTTCTGGATTAACTTGTCACCTGTCGCTAAAACATTTATCCAGAGAAAAAAAAAGAAACAGAGAGAAATAAACTGCTCTAGAAGAACTAAGGTGTTGCTACGTCAAGCTATACTTGATTATTGCATTGGTTTTAATGCACTAATACCGGGACAACAGAGCAAGTAAAAGACAGCACGGGCACAGTTGTATGTTCTCTGTTCTTCCTTCTCACTGTTGTGCCGATATGAGCGCAATAAAGCGAGAACTGAATAAACGTCAACCAACTAGCCAAACTTGGTGCTCTTCTGCAACGAATTATTGTACTTAAGCCCCTTTAAATAGCCCGGAATCTAGCTAGATCACTTTTGTCTTCGCTGCTTCTTGGAGCTGTGTCTGCATACGATAAGCGAAAGAAACGAGACATTTAAGGATGTGTATGTCACTCCCTTCTATAAAACTGCGTGAAATACTGCGCATGGTACTGAAAAGCTCTTGAAAAAGTCCGAGAAGGTGTATGTATAGTAGCAGACATCGCGACTTTCGAGCCGTCATGGAAGGTGATGTAGGCAAACCATGTAGTCATCTGCAGCCATGCGTGCAGCGCCTTCAGCATTCTCTTTAAACAAATGTCAAGCTTTTCAATCTAAACAAGTGGTGTATTATGAGTGAAATATGATTTCCGATGGCACAAACATCTCGGCAGTGTCACTTGAGACAAACAACAAGTTTTGAAGACTGTAGAATTGGGCGTGTTGGTATAGGACATGAGATCTGACTGCAAATCAGCGCAACCGACAGGAGGGAGGACACAGAGTGCTTATGTGTCATCCCTTCTGTCCCCTCCTGTCGGTTGCACTGATTCGCATTCACAGTCGATAAACTTAATTCTTTTCGAATTTATATTCGGCAGTAACTTACTATCTTAGCGCAAGAATGTATCGTTTCGTGAGATTATAACAAGCACCATAATGAAAATACTCGATGAAAAACAAAACACAACTAATTTGGTGCCACTCCATTGTGTTATAAGGCGGACGACCAGCAGAACAGACGGGCGCACTTCGGCCTTCAAAAGCTCCGTACACTGAACTCTGGTCTAGCGGGTCTGGGTGGCGGCTTCGACTAACGGCGTCCCGGACTGTAGAAATGTCGACCTGCTCATATGGACTATCTTGCATTACCAGTTTAAATAAATGTTTTCCCCAACCTCCCCCCCCCCTCCTCCTCCCCTGCTCTCGTCGGCGTTCTTCATAGGCATGCTTTATAACAGTGGCGTTCTCGCAAAGAGTGGTCTACTTCTATGATGAGTGATTCTTAAGAGAGAAAGGAAGAGAAAAGTGAGCCCCGTTACTGTCTGCTTCAGTGAGCGACACCTCCACAGTAGCTCACAAGGAATGGGGGTGAGGAGGGATAAAAAGGGTAGGAGTAAAGGTGTAGAAAAGAGGAAGAAGAAGCGACAACAAACTGAGGGGATAGGAGAAATAGGAAAGATGGAAGCACGGTCACTGGAGTCCAAGGACGGGGCACACTTGCGAGAGCTCTTGTCGGCATCGGTA